AATCTGCCTTTCATTACTAAAAAGAGAGCCTATTTATAGATGCACACGTGCACAATAGTTTTTTGAAGAGTAACAATCTGCCTTTCATTACTAAAAGAGAGCCTATTTATAGAGGCTTCGAGCTTTAAGAATGCAAGATAAAATCCAAGTTACTGTGCAGTAACTACTAAACTTAAGCAAACTGAAGATATAATTAACTAATCCTTTAAAGGAATAACATACAACTCAGCTGACTACATCACTCCTCCATACAGGGGCCTAGCTGGGGAAAAACCTACAAGAAATAATTGGGGTCCCGAAGAAGTAGCCTATTAGAAACCAAGATGGGATATTAATTTCTATGCAGTCTTTCAATGACAACCGTACTTGTGCGTTGTGGCTCTTGTTTCTAACTAGATCCAAAAAATGAGAGAAAGTTGGACCTAACTTGAATTGGCACAATATAAGCTACTTCGAGTTTAATTTTAGAGTTGATATAGATGTAATTGTGGAAAAAGACTCTTGATTTGTGAACCCAGTATCATTTAGTAATCTATGTTGCTTCTTTTGTTCATTCATATCTTTTTGTGCTCTGTGAAGTTTCTACTCGGGGAAGAGCATTGTTGACCTTTGGAGTTTCTCAACACATTTTATCTGAGAGTTTTTATGTTTGAATACCGTTGCAGTTGGAGTAGTTCTGCATGTTCTCTGTGTGAAAGTAATTTCAATTTTTTTGGTTCATTGGATCCATTTAAATCAGACAATTTTAGTGTTATGGCGCTTGTGACAGTTTCTATTCCATTTTGACATTATGGTTTCCAATACTAGACTGTTTTGCTCAATTCCGGAAGAAAGTTTTTACTTCACATATTTTTATCTTTCTTTTCACAGTGGAATTATTGCCCTTCCATTCTGTACATCAATTTTTATAAGTGAAGTTCTCTTTCTTATGAAAAAAATTCTAGAGGTCATTGCACGAGTTCTTGCAGTTTTGACAAAGCAGAACTCTTCGTATACTTTTCACACTAAGGCTCTTTTTCTTATTAATAATACAAAACTAAACAGAACTTGCTCTTGTTGTCTGCTATTAACATGTTGATCTTTATTATCAGTTGCGAACACAGGCTCTTGCATCACTGCACTCTGGTCTTCAGAATAACCAAGGACTACCAATTGCCCATGTCTGTAAGTGGATTGGGATGGAGGTACTATTTCTTCCGCTTAATGTAGTCAGGGTTGTATCCTTTTGGCAGGAATGAGAGGGGTTTCATGTTTCTGATCATATTTTGAATTTGTTAAATAATTGATATCAGGAAGAAGATATTGAAGGCCTTTTAGAGTATCACGGTTTTCTGATCAAGGTATTTGAAGAGCCTTATATGGTTCGTGAAGGTCCATTTCTTAATAGCGACAAGGACTTTGCTACCAAGTGCTCAAAACTCGTTCATATGAAGAGGTCAAGAATGATAGTAAATGATGTCTCGCCTTGCAGTCAAAATGAAAACTTGATCACTGGTGCAACCAAAGAAATTCCGTTGCCAAGGATTAGAAAGGAATCACAGACCTTTTCTTTTGAAAAGATTAGTTCTCCCCGTACTGTATCAGCTAAAAAGGAAAGTTCCATACGTGTAACAAATGAAGAAATGACTGAATTTGATGATCAGCCAACTCCAGTAGATCACAAGCAAGTGCAACCAATGATTGAAACACCGAAAGTCAGCCAATTGCATGAATATAACCATGAGGTGGATGGTGCTCTCGTACAACAATCTGGTCTTAGATCATGTGAACCTTTGAAGACTGAAATTAAATTTGTAGGCAATCAAAACTATGATGGTCTTTTCACGACCTCTTCAATGAAAAACATTTCTACTGGGATAGGAGTGTCTTTGCCACTTGTAACTGAAGCATCACTTCAGAATATATCAGTTTGTGGTTATAATGATAGTGCTATGGAAAGAGTTGAACCCCAGATCTTAGTCAATAATGTGATGGAAGATAAAGAAACTTTGTATGCTTCTGTGGAAAATAAACAAGATATTGTTATGGAAAGTTGTCAGGATGAAGAAATTGCAAATGCAAGGCTGAAGTTGATCTTAAGGTCACAAACACATATTGCTGGCTTTGTTGTGTTTGAAAGCTATTTTTCTTCTGTATGCAACTCACTGTTTGGGTTGCAAATTTCAGGTTATGGAGGCGTCGAGCTCTGAAGAAAAAACAATTACGTGAACAAAGGGTATTAGCCGCTAAAGCGGCATTTAGCACATTGTCCGTGGGACCACCGGTCCAATTGAATAACCATGTAAGGTTCACTAGTATGTGAAATCATTATTATGCCTTCGTTTTTACTTCACAATCCATTATTGCCTCGTATCACTTGTGTTTCCAAGGGTGTGCATGGTTCGACTTGATTTGGTTTTTGCCAATATTGGAAATCAAACCAAGCCACTTGGTTTGCAACAAAGTTAAAATGAGAAAAGCTATTTTTTCCTCAAAATGGGTTCAACTTGACCCATCTCCGTTTGGCTCAAGCTGATTTGGTTTTGGTTTGAACCAGTTTTGGCCCAATATTTTTGGCTATTTTAAGTTCAATGTTGATATGAGAATCTTAAGTAAATAGGTAATCAGAGTGAAATAGGTTAATGGGTATAGAGGGTTTGAAAGTACAATGATCAAAATAGACGTTTCCATAGTACATTGATTAAAATCGACAAAAATTAGAAGTATAGTGATCAAAATAGACCAGGGTTGAAAGTACACGGACCAAAGAGTTTGGCTCGATTCTGGTTGGTTTACCAGTTTCCTTAATTTTTAGAACGCTCCTAACTATTTCATTTATACAGCTCTTTTAGAGGAAAAATAAAGAAATCGAACTCTTAGTCTTCATTTATTTTCAAAATTAGATGTCGAACTCTTGAATCCCCGTGTAAGAAAAGTCACGAACTTGACTTGGTTATGGTTTACTTTTATTGAATATAGTAACTAATATGTCGTCAAAAGGAAACTCTTGTTAGTGATGATTACATTTTTGAAGACATTGTTTTTTTCTTTTTTGTGCAGAAAATTAGAAGTATTGGTGTGTTTGACATCGATCATACCTTGAGGGAAAGATGGAAGAAGCAGGAATTGTCATGGTCCATAGTTAATGTTTCAGATGTAGTAGCTAGCACTATGAGCAGAAGGAATGTGGATGTGAAATGTATTTGTTGGAAACTTGTTATCTGCTCTCAGATGGACAATGTTGGTGATCTGGATCAGATGGGCCAAGATTCTCGTTTTGCAGCAGGTTATTGGTTGCTTTCTAAGCTCATGCCTTCTAAAGCTGATGATCTAGTCTTATCATCTTCTTTTCTTTCCATTTGGAGGAGTTGGATTTCTTCCGAAATTGGTGCGAATCTAAGTTGTTTCTTGTCCATAGTTAAGGATACAGAATTTGATAATCTTACAGAGACCGTGCACGGGGCAAGTGCAATCTTATTTGTTGCAACAGAAAGCATCCCCTGGGAGCTTCAAAGAGTCCAACTCCACAAGCTGCTGATGTCAATACCTTCTGGTTCCTGCTTGCCCCTTCTGATTTTAAGTGATTCACATGATGAGGTTTCTGCCTCTTCCATGCTGGTGAATAAATTGGGCTTATATGATATTGATAAATCAAGGATACATAGTTTTCAGGTCGTTTCACTCTTAGAGAACCCCCATTTGAGGCATTTGGGGTTTTTCAGTGATGAGAAACTCAAGGAAGGACTAAAGTGGCTAGCAAATGAATCACCACCACAACCTGTCCTTCACCGCGTCAAAGTGCTCAACCTGATTATTACCCATTTGAATTCTTCTATAGAGATGCTTGATTCAATGAAAGAAAATGACGTTTCTCCGAACCAGTGTATCTCAGCATTTAATCTTGCCTTGGATCAGTCGCTTACAGATGTTACTGCTGCTGCCAAGGAAAATCCTTCAAACTGGCCTTGTCCGGAGATTGCTTTGTTGGAGTCTACTGACGAGCACACAATAACGACTCATGCTTTGCCTCCTGTAGGATGGAGCTCAGTCGAAAATGTCGAACCGCTTAGGCAGGCTTTGATGGACCTGAAGCTTCCATCTTTTCCTGATATGTCATGGTTGAGCAAAGGCTCAAATATGGTAAACGAGATACCTAACCATAGAGATTACCTAGAAAGTTGCTTGATTAGTTATCTGAATCAAACTAGTGAGATAATGGGACAACAGCTTGCAATGGAAGAGGCTCATATCATGCTCCAAAAAAGTGCTAAACTTGAGCTCCAGAAGTTCAAATACTTTATCGTTCCAGATTGGGTGACTATTTTTAGACGGATTTTCAATTGGAGGTTGAGGTACTTAGCTGGCAGGTCCTCTTATGTTCATATTGTGGATTGTTACCACAGTGTCTCTCCAACGAGTGGTGTGAAGCTTGAACGTAGGGAACCGCCATCTTATCGTCCAGACCAGCCACTTTTAGATGAACTAATTGAAGCAGCTTGCAGCTCCCTCTCAATTGACCAAAGGACACAACTGCCGGATGCTCATCAGCCTCTTGCTGCCATGACGTCAAATAGTAGGCCTCCTGAGGTTGCTGCTGTAGCAATCGATTTTTCAGACAATGATCGCGATAGCACACGAGAGATTGGCTTTGTTAGTTCTGAGTGTGTACCTAATTTGGGTCAGAGACTAAGCTGTACAGGTAAAGAACTAGTCGCTAGCAGCACCGTATATTCAGAAGCGGTAAGACTGAACGAGTTGTTGGATCGGTGTAATGAACTACAGGATGCCATAGAAAAAAAGTTGTCCATTTATTTCTAACCCTTCTGTTTGTTTTGTTACTGTAAATTTCTACCAACGGTATGATGATGATGAGGTAAAATTTTGTGAGGGAATATTCAGTTATATTACTCCAGGTGAAGCACATTGCCTTCAAATTTTTAACTTTTCACTTTTTCTCAACCCTATTGATAGATCAATATATACTTGAGATTTAGTATCAATGATATCAACAGAAATTTCTCTACATGAGGTTCTTATAGGTAGAAATTCAAGAGGCCATTCGTACCATATAGATGGGTTTTTTCCCCTCGAAATATTTCTTTTTCAGCAGTGTTAAAGCAGAGATTTTACTGGGAAAATTTCAAAACATTGTAAAGGAGGTTTAAAACTATTAAATTACAAATTTTGTCCCTTGAACATTGTGACAAAATTGAAGCACTCCCAACAAAAAATTTCTCTACTTTCCCTAGAAAAGGTCAATTCTACTAGTAGCAATTGAGCAGTTTTGTTCCTGGGCAAGTAATAAAGCTAATGGGTTCGAAATTGACATTGAGGGTGAATCAAATTTTCCATAATTTTCAAAAGTTTACAAAAATATTAAAAATATCAACTGAATACTACTGATCTTCTAGCTTATTTAAAACTAGTAAAATGTTTATTGGTTAATTTAATATTCGTTATTAATTTATTTTTAAAAAATATCCATCGATAGACATTTTCACAAAATTGAAATCTCAATATATCCATAAAATTGAAATCTCGATATGTCCATAAAATTGAGATTTCGAGATCTCCATAAATCCTGGAGCATTTGTGTTGAAGGGCGAAGACATGTAGGGCACCCCAACTTCATATGTCAAAATCATTTGACAAAACAAGACCCAACCCTCAAAGACAAGAGTGTAATGGTCCCATGAAAGTTGGCTGTCTTAGGCTGGACATCTAAAACAACATCCTACCAGATCTAGACACTATTTTTGCAACAGATAAGAATGGATGTGCTTCTGCAATTATAACAAAAGTAAACAGTGCTTTTTTAACCCATTAAAAGCACTTTTAGAAAAGTTACTCTTGTTCTCCATATAACTAATCACTTTCATGTCTGATTCGACGCTCTTAAAAGAGTGCTTTTCGATCAAGAATTTCACCTAAAAGAATTACTTAAAACCAGACAAGTGCTAAGACATCCTCCTAAACTTACAACAAATCACCAACCAGACATTCATAGCAACACATTTTCACGTACAACTGTAAAATTATGTTATTATCAGAATGCAGTCAAGAATCTCTGTACAATATCCAATTGCAACTAAATTCAAGAGAAGGACACTTCACAAACCCAAGAGAGATTAAGAGTGAGTGTACATGAAGGAAGCTAACAAATCACCACCACCATGTCCGTTTCCTTCTCTCCGAATTCCGTTCGATGGAAAACGTCTTAGATTTCTCGTACTGCCTTCTGCAAGTACCCGCCTTTTCCGAGTATGCGATAATCTTATTTCAGTTGTCTTCTTTTGTAGTTTTGTTAGAATTAGCTTGGAGCAACTCTACAGATAGAGGGAGAGCATTATATTCTTCCTTGGACTTACAATACTCTTCTTGTGGTTAGAAGGATTGTTATTAGCAACACCGACAGTAAGAGAGCTTCTTAACCTGTGAAACGAGCGATTTCTTCGGTAGGGAGAGGAAGGGCACCCCCCATTAGCCCACTTCCTGTTACCAGACACAATGATATGATATGAAGTTTCCAAGAAATACACTAAAAGAATTCTAAAAGACAACTGCAGGAAACAATGACAGGATGTTAAGCCAAACAACATGACAAGAAGGTATGGAAATGGTTTGAAAAGCTTCTGTACCAAGTTGGTAGAGATGACAGATTTATCAATAATGCAATAGTAAATAATGTGGCAAGGAAGAGACTAAAACAAACACCCACCACTTCCAACGGTCGGTGCCGTGCGGGAGATGGAACGACAATCGCTGTACTCCTGTTCATCAAACCCACATGCTGAGAGATCTGTAGATCTGAGAAATCACTTCTGATGGAGCGAAAGACCTCCGAACTTCCAGTGAACGCGGAGATCTCAGAAGTTTCCCGCTCTGAACTCGTGTGCCTTATGCAGACCCCATTCAGCCCAGCGGTAACAACAGCACCTGACTACAGCAATTACAATAAAGTTTAAACCAATTGACTTGAAAGGATAAGAATATTTCACACAGCTAATCTTAGATCTCATAAGAACCAAAGAAGAGGGAAATGATTGTTGGTTCTACATGGAGGAGTGTCATAACCCATAACCAACATTCAGTGTTTCGAAACGATCAGTCATCACACAACTCACCAACATAATTTCAAGAAAATTATGGCTCTCACCAAGAATCATGGTATTATACTAGATCATCTAATCACACATGATAATCAGTTAACATAACCCCCTCCCTAAAACAGAGGCTGACAGATTAATAGAGAACAAGGGCGATAAGATGTAAGTACGAATCTCAAATTAGCGCTTGGATATGGATGGATTTACATACATTAGAGAGGCCTTTAATGTGCACTATGATGATTGTTATATCATCTGTCCGGTTTTCGTGCTCCAACCATAGCTTGTACGATTCTCCAGCAATAGCAGCGCATGCATCCCGTGGATCACTATACCTTGCAGCCTAAACGAACACTTCGTTAAGAAAGAATAGGAAAGGAACTAATGTGAAATCAGAAAGTTCATAATATAACGAGGGAAGTTACAGCTAAGAAGAAATGATCTTTGAGAAGTAGAACGTGCATAAACTATTATTTTCACAACTAAAAATGTGAATTGAGAACTTTAAGTCCGAAAGAGCTATAAATATGGCATTGAATACAAGTGCGGTGATCGAAGTTCTAAATGTATTGAGCAGAACGACTAGGAGCCATTTTCATTACCCTTCTGTCACAGAAGATATTCAGAGAGAAAACAGGAGATAGAAAATAGATCATTGGTTATTAAAGATTTCTGTGAAATTAACCAAACATTGAAAACTAAGTCCATTCTAGAGTTAAGTTAGGTGCTGTACCATATCAACAACAGCTTGACTTGTAAGGAACTCGAAAACTCCGTCACTTGCAACGACAAAGAACAGATGGTTTGGAGTCAGCTGAACCGTTGAAACTTCAGGGACAGCAATGACACCAATCTTCTCGGCTGTATGGTCTCCAACACTCCTAGTAAATGCAGTACCAGGATACAAGTTATTAGGAACCCACAACCGAGGGGGATCGCTACCCTCGCTCTCCTCATCGCCCCATATCTGAATATCTGGATCCTTAAGCCCTTCAATTTGATCAATAGTCAACACCCTAGCCCCAGCAAGCTTTACTCTCTCGCACTCATCCTTCCTAAATGGTGTTTGATCACGAGATAGATCCTCGGCAACAATTCGATTCCCATCTTTAACGGCAATGACTGCCCTTGAATCACCCACATTCGCAACGTAAAGGGTATTCCCAACAACAAGCACAGTAATAGCTGTTGTGCCACTCATGGAATCATCAATCTCACTATTATGCAAATCATCATTCGTGGTTAAAAATGCTGAATTATAAGCTTTTACAGGATCTTCCAACAATGTTGGATCATTACATAGTATTTCCACCACCCTACTCTTAACAAAATTCGAACACTGTGATCCGAATTGACCGTGTCCGTCGAAAACACCGAAGAAATGGATGTTTGGATTACCTCGGATCTGTGTACTGACACAGAGGCTGTCTTGGTTTTCTTTATCAGGGGAATCAGGATAGTAGCCACGCTGGGTGAGGAGCGAGTACTCCATATGGTAGTTGTGAGAAGGCACATGAACAAACTCCAATGACCTTCCCGTTAGTATATGTTTTCCATGTAAACTGCACGGCGGGCTGTCGTAGAATTCCGCCATGTCGCCGGCTGAAGACGGCGGGTAGCCACTGGAAGTGCAACACTTGCCAAGAACGCAACCCATACTCTAAAAAACAGACCAATCGAAAAGGAAAACTGAAAAAGAAAAAACACTGAAAATGCAGAATGCCGATGGGAGAATCGCAAATCAGAGGACCCAGAAGCTTAAATATACAGACATCTCGGCCAAAATCGCGAAGTGGGTCCTAGACACCTGATTTTGCGGGACTTCAAATTGCAATGTCCTAGCAAACCCATGACAGAGACCCAAATTCAGCCAAGAAACAAGTCTCTTACAAGACAAATTCCATCTCAATGTTGCCACAGGCGCGATCAAGAAGCAACCCCTCAAACGAAAAGCGATTTTCAGAGAAACCCACCTAAAATCTCGAAGGGGGAAACAAGAAACAGGGAAGAAACTAAAGGAATCGAGAAACACAAGAAAATCGCAATGGGGGGTTCTTCACCACAGAACAGAACAACACAGTAAATGGGTCATCTCAAATTCGCAAAAGAAGATTTGCGAACGTGGGAAAACAAGAAAACAGAGACCAGAGGACGATGAGGAAATCGAAGAGAGGGAAAACCGAAACCCTAAGAAATAAAGAGGGAAACAAGGGAGCTGTGGGGGGTTTTAATGGGAACAAAAATGCGTTTCCTTCGCAGAGAGAAGAGAGGAGAGAGTCATTGAAGATTCTGTGTGTGCATGGAAGGGTTTTGGTTTTGGAAGGGAAAAACAAGCCCATTTTCCAAGAAAACACACCCCATCCCCCACAGTGCGTCCACAGAGAAGCGTCAGAAAAAAAATTTCCCAAAAAAAAAAAAAAGTATTCAAATTTCTAAAGAAGGGACAAATCATATATTGTCAAAGATCTCATCTCACGAGAAGAGGGGCTGATGCAGATTTCTTCACTGTCACAGGGGGTACAGAGGCCATATAAAAATTGAAACTTTTTTTTTCCTTCTTTTCTTCTTATTTTGTTGTTTTTTCTCGACCGTTTTTCTAGTTGGAAAGTTTGCCTGTGATGCAGAAATTAGACAGACCACTGAGACCTTGCCACTTGACATAACTTTCTTATTTTTTTCCAAGAGAGGGGAAGGGGGAGGAAAAGTTGGTGACTTTTTGGAAGAAAAAGAAAGAAAAGGAAAATTAAATACACAAAAAAAAAATCCTCCATTTTTTAATATGAAAATTTCCCCTTAGACTTCTATTTTATATTAAAAATGATATGCTAGAAAATGAGTGTCATTGGTCAGGTTACTTATTTGTTAGTTTTTCTTTTGAGAAATACTTTTTTGTAATTTTTGAAAGGTGAATTGTGAGTAATAAAAGGACCTTCAATTTTTGTTGTTGAGGTTAATTTTGTAGCCTGGGTGGGTAACATTTTATTTTATAAGACAATTATATTAAGATTATTTATTAGACGTTAATTTGAGCATAGCTCGCAAATTAAGACATCTATGTTTGACTATAAGATTGTGAGTTTGAATTCTCCTACTAAAAAAAAGAGAAAAGAATTTAACATAAAACACTGTTGAGTAGGAAAAACAATACCAGAGCTTTTATAAACACTTTGTGTTTTCGATAGAATATAAGTAATCTCAAATTTCATTTGCAAAAACAAACCTAAACAACTATCTCAAACTTAACCAACAATATTGTGAATAGAAAAAGATGATTACTTCATAAGCAAAATCACTCTCCAAATTACACAAAACGTCAATTAGAAGTTAAAAAGTGGCCACTTTGCAACTTCAAAACATATAACGACAAAAATGATAACATATACAAAACTTTCAACAAATTCTTAAGAATCCCACGTATATTATTATGATATTTTCCAAATTATTCTAACATTCATAACCCTAAATTTGAGAAGAGTAAAGGCAAGAAGATTGCTAGGACTTGTGGATGTTTTGATGGGGAAATTGAGTGTTGGCAAGGTAGTCAAAGTAATCAAGCATTGAATATTCCTCTATTGCCTTCCAAACACTTCATTTCCTTTCCTTTTCCCTTCATTTTCCATCTATTTCATGTTTTATTTTGTGGTTCTAAATTTTTATGTCAAACAATCAAAACCAATATTAATTTCATACAAATTTTGGTCACAAATATAGTTCCTTTGAAATTTAATTTTCCTTACCTTTTAAGGTTTCAAACAAAAGTATAATTCAATAGATAAGACGTTCATTACTATCTCAAATGTCAATGACTTAATTTACTACCCTCCAATTTTTATAAAGTAGAATACACAGCAAAAATATTATAAAACTAAATTGTTTTTTTTATTTTATTTCTAGTAGTCTAGAATGCTAGAATGAGAATGTTACATACTTTAGAAAAAGTATGGATTCTATGCTTTTAGATAGCGTTTGATTTTTTTTCCTATTAATATTTTAACTAAATGTGCTCATTCATCTAAAACTAATTCAATCATTTTTAAATATTTCGATATACATTGCAATATCTAGTCGAATAATGCAAACGACTTTACCTGGATTTTTTAACCAGTTAAAAGCACTTTTAACCCAATAAAAAAAAAGGAAAAAAACTATTCCCTACACTTTATTTTCTTTTTTAGGTTAATTTATTTTATTTTTTTCTTCCTTTTTTTTTGTGGCTTTGATAACATTAAGCAAGTTGTACATGTTTTGGAAGCTTCTCATTGTCTCATTGGTATAAGAGAGAGATATGAAAAAGGAGTAAGATTGAGTGACACATTTCAATGAGATAGGGGGACCAAAAGTGTACCACACACATGTCCAAAATGACTCACCAAGATTCTCTTCTATTTTTTTTCCTAAAATTTTTTTTTTGGTTCAAAATCTTGACTCTGTGTCGCTTAAGCAATGAGGATTCGAACTCTCCTGACATCGTAGTTTGTAGCCACGTGTTCAATCTTCTAAATTTCAGCTGGTTAAAACACATATTGGTATTTTTTAAAAATACTTGACCTTATTTACTTTTTAAATCTTTTTTAATTAACCGATTAATCATTCTAGTGCACATACTTTATTTATTTTTAATTTTTTTTTCGAGATTCATTATTAAAAAAAGTTTGAGCATGTTTGAGAATCTATCATTTATATTATTAATAGTTTAAATTAAAGTTAGAACAATCATTACACAAGTATATAGTATAATCCTCCAAGTAAATGAGAAAGAGACCTATATCAATTAAATTTATGAAGTTAGGCTCTAGCTTATTTTATTTTACTAATTTGACTTTATAATTAAAAAAATTAAAAAATGAATTGATATTTATTTAATCCAAGCAAGTACAGAAAATAAATGAATGAGAAGGGACTAAAATTTTAGAAAATAATTGTAATCATTGAATAAATACAGAAAGGGACAAAATATGTAGCCAAAGTTTTATCCAATTATATTAACATAGGTTGAAATATATATTTTCGATTAAAGAATTATGAGTTCTGACTCTTTCTAGTTCCACAAAGGAAAAAGAATAAAAATAATAAATAAATTATTTTTGCAATGGAACTTATTATCATCTATATAATATAATGAGATGCGACACAATTATATTCATGTGACGTAAATATTCACATGACATTTCTATGTTTTTGCTATTTAAATTACTGAAGAAAATAAATCAATTTCTGAAAATTTTACTTTCTTTTTTACTTTCTGAATTGTCGTAATCAATGAGATGCTGGTGAATATTGATTTTGTTTTGATGCCTGACAATTGGAAGGAAATTTTTGTCATCTTAAATTTATAGAGATGGTGGTAGTTGTGAAAATAAGATATAATATTTAATTTTAATTAAGTTAAAATATTATTTTAATATCCATGGTTTCAATTTTTGTTATTTTAATCTTTAATATTCTTAAATATTCCTGATGGTCCACTTTCAAAATGTTGAATTTTATTTTCAAAATATTTATTTTAGTCTCTATATTTTTAAAAATAATCATTTTGATCTCTTAATTTTATTTAATCTATTTTTTCTATCACGATTTCAATACAAAACCAAAATATTTTCAAACATTTGTTTATATTGATAATTTTTCGTTTTTTAAGTACAAAACATATGAGATAGGAGACTGAACCTCCAACCTCGAAACAATGAAACGACCCTATTGAATAATTTTTTGAATTGATTAAGCAATCATGGAGTTGGAGTTCAATATTAATTGTGGCTATAGCATATATGTTACTTTCACTTTCTTCTTTTTTGTTGTCTTCTTTTATTTATTTATCAATTTTACTTTTCCCTTTCTTTACTCCAAAGAAGGTACTTTTTCGCACGGGTGTTTGAACAACAATGTCACGTTATAAAATATATATATATATATATGTTGTGGGTAAATCTACATTGGACCATGTCGAAAAAACCAATGAATTTTGGAAGCCCATGTGTCGGGCCCAATAGAATCCTTTGTGTAACATTTATTAGCTTAGTTGAGAACCCTTTGTGTCTGTACAAATTTCTGTCATGTCATATAGGTCTGAGTCGAACTTCCAATTACTTCGATTTGAATTATCCAAAGTTTGGGGAGCTCTGACAGGGGACTTGAGTCTCAGCGGTCCCGCAGTCGAAACACTAAAGTATTCGAGATATGAATGGGGCCTTGAAGAATAGTCCTGGTCTCGACTCCCCCTGGCAAAGTACTTCCAATCTAGTAGGTTAGCTGCCTGCAACTAGTATAAGTGGATATGATGTTAGCTCTATCGAAGCCACTATGGTACAACCGGGATTTGGGAAGATACGACATCACATCAAGTGCTCTCTTGCTATAAATGAGGAAGGAGAACTCCCCAGGAGGTAAGTTACTTTCAGACATTCAACACTCATTTTACTCTCTTATTTAGATATCGGAGAATGTTAGAGTGATATTGAATTTGGTTGCTCGCAGGTATCTCGTAAGGTGGGAGCATCCTAGATCTCAACGGTGGGAGCATAGTAGATCTCGCCACCTCAGCTTGATAAGATCTCAACATCAACCAATAATAATAATAATAATCATAATAATAATAATAATAATAAATATATATATAGAGAGAGAGAGAGGGAACTTACTGCTTCCGAGGATCACGACCACATGAATGAATTCATGCAGATGCAGATCTGAATGCTTCTTTGATGGGCCGTACTTGGCTTGGTATGGGCTGGGCCCGCTTTGGATGGGCCGGGTTAAATTGACGTGGGCTTATGGCCCAACCACAATTCATTTGAATTTTGAGACATAAATGTAAGGCGTACAATATTATTCATAAGAAAAAGAAAACTTTGGTTGACTTGACTTTGTCCGTTTTAATCAGTTTGGTTGATTTATTTCAAGTGGTCAATTGTTAGGTCTATGAAAATATCAATTTCTTGAGCTGATTTCCAATTTTCTTTAAAAAAATCAAGTGAAATCGCTAACATCTTAGAAAATGATCCCTTTTGATTTATTAGTGTTTCCTCCTTTTACACAAAAGGATTGAACCTCAGCTTCTTCTCATGTTTTTGGTTGTTGGAGATAAATTTTCATTGGAAAGATACTTTATAGGTCGGAAGGCTCTAAGTCATCGTAATGATCCAGTTAGAAGACCAAATCCATGATGATAGACTAAATTGCTCGAAACTCCACAAAAGTCAAGTCAAGGATAATTTCATTGGTCATCTAAAACTTCTTAAAGGCTGAGCCGATCAATAAAGATCTCAATAGCTCATCATCGTCAAAGATGAGTCGACCAATTAATATCTCAACGGCTCATCCTAGTAAGGGCTACTGCAAGATTATTACATTGTATACCAACAACCATTATTTCTCCAATAAGACATCGTGATTTGTGGAACTATCGTAACCGTTCCTAAACCACTGTTGGAAGCTCAAACTCTATAATAGAGAGTTCTGCCACATTTTTTAGGTATGTGAAACTATGTTCAAATCGAATATTGATCGAACCAAGCCTAAATTGAGTGTCAGAGCTACTTACTTTCTCTATGTAAATTTCTTCGACCTCATTTGAATCTGAGTTTACCACAATTGGTATAATTCTCGATTAAATAGTGGTAAAAGTAAAATCAACATTAGTTCTCCCTTCCTTCGACTTATAAATAGCTAAAAATAGTTATCTTTTATTTAAAAAATTTTATGTTTATTTTTATTTGATTACTCTCTCAATTGTAAAATTTTGTGTAATGAATTTTTTTTTAAAACAAGGAGAAAAAAAAAAAAAAACATAAGCCTGGGGAATCTTCAAACCCTAGGCCCAGACTTTGGCAGGTGCACAATTTTATTAGCTTCCCTATTAATCAAGCGTAGAGAGACCAACGATTTTATTTAGGTTCAAATTTCTTCAGCAATCATGAACATTTTTTAGTTCTTAAACTTGACATAGAAATCATTTTAGTTATTATCATTCATTTAAAAAACGTTCATCAATTTCGAAATTAGACTAGCAACGTCAAAGATCCCTTAAAAGTTATTTTTGGTATATATGAATTGACTCTAATTATAAATTTATTTAAGAAAAATTACAGATGACCCCTCCAAAGATAATTAGGCATATTTTATGAAAACCTTACGAAGAATACAAGAATTATTAACTTCTATTTGTTAACTACTTAAAATATATATATATAAAGTTATGAGTTCGTACTTCAAAAATTTATAATTTTTTATTTTCAAAAAATGAACTTATTAAGCAAAAAACCAACGGGATTTTAAATGAAACAAAATAACTAAACCTAATAGAAAGTATTATTATATTGAAATGGAAATATCTTTAAATGTAATTCTTTTGGTCTGCAATCTAAAATAAGGTGATAAATAGTAATAGACAAAGAGGCCAGAGGGAGGAAAAAAAGACTAAAAATAACATTACAAAAAAAAATGAGGAAGAAATTTCACGTAAGCTAAATATGGGGACCTCCTCTCTCTCCCGTACACCTGCAAAATTTTAGGCGTCATCCAGCCGTCCATTGTGATCACGATCATGCATATCAGATCCCACTGGGCCCACTCTCCTACTTTTTGGTACTACCACGTCATCACATTTTCCACGTAAGTCAAACTCAGATGTTCGTTCAACACATCATCTTCCACGTCTGCCTGATTCCTATAATTTAGTTCCGAATTCCTATTTCCGGCGAGCCGTGAACGTCTGGTACACTATACTTCCAGCGGCCGGAAACTCGTCCACGGCGCAACTCCGGCATTTCATCCCAAGCGCCTCGAGCGCGCCGGCGACGCGCGTCCAGACGTCGTGGCCGGCGCCGGTGGTCGCCACTGACATCGCCGCCGGCCGAAAAATCTGCACCACCTTCTTCAACTTCCGTGCCAGATCATCCGGGTCATCATAAACCGACCCGACACACTCAAAGCTTGTGTAACTAAACCCATCCTCCGGCGTCACATGAATCGTCGAATACCGGTCGCCGTCGATCCCATTCATCGAGTACCCACAAGGAAAAAACGCAAATTCACAAATCAAACCACTCGGATTAATATTCCCAATTCCGGTCACATGGGTCATCTCCTTCCCAACTGAATTCCCGGTCTTCCCGTCGCCGGGCCTAAAGAAGAATTTCCGGGCGAGAATCCGGTCGAGCTCGGTCATACAGATTTCAACGGTGAAGAGAAATTCGGAGTTGGGGAGGAGAAATTGGGGGTCGGCGGCGGCGGAGAACACGTGCCAAGAATGGGAGGGGAGATGTGAGGGCATGACGGCGGCTTTCCGGTACCAGAGATTTTGGGGGAGGGATTGTTCTAAGAATAGGAGTTCTTCTTTGAAACTGGAGTGGGGAAATGGCTGGGATTTGGGGAAAATAAAATTTCCTCTGCTGTAACGGCAGGAACAGAGGGAGAGGCCGAGATTGCGGGCGTGGTGGAGGAAGGGGAAGATTGAATTCAGGAGCTGAGTGGTTCCACAAGTTTTGATGATGATTTTTGTTGGGTAGATGAAGAGGCTCGATTCGGACAAAACGTAGGCGTCGAAGAAGTGGTTGCCAACGGAGGCGACGATGGAGCAGCCGACGGAGCGGAGGATTTGTTCGAGGGAATCGGAGTCCATTTGCCGGAGACCCATGTGGATGATCGGGTCCTCACCGGAGAAATGAAGCTCTAGGCGCTTTTCAAAGCCTTCAAACCCAGAAACCGCCATTGAAGCAGAAGAAGAAGAAAATGGAAAACAGAGGAAAAGAGTTTGAAGAATGAATTGCAGTACTAAAAGTACAGGATTGGATGGGATTTATAAGGGAATGGGAAAGGGTAGAGAAGGAGAAGCATGCTAGTGAGGCAACAAAGAGTCATGATTGAAATCATAATGATGGAGTGAAGAAATTTCTGCTTTTGAAATGTTTCAAAACAGAGCATCTCTGTTCTATCTGTCTCTAATTTGAAAATTTGCCATCTGGGTGGTGGATTAGTCATATTGATTAGAGCTTGAACAAGACATAGAATGAAAATTACTTGGGTTTTTTGGGGTTCACTTGTAATGGATTAATGATGCAGATTGAGACAAGATGATGAGAAATTGCTTGGAATCGGCCAACAAGGGAACTGGGATTTCGAATGCAGTTCCAGACAACTTCCGAGGCTTGGGACATAACAATCATAGGCTACAAAACTAGACGCTCTCAGTTTATCGTACAAGTTAGCAATTATTAAGATTAATGAATCCGTTGTGGGATTAAGGTGGGGATTATGTGTGAAGTGCCAAAAACAGAGCAACATCAGAGACATGTTTGTGGTTGTGTGTTAAAAGTTGGATTAGAGGAATGAATGATGATGGGTTTGGGGTGTTTTGTTGTTAATGAAGAGAAGTGACAGAAGATTAAGGGGAATGATGATGATGGAGAGACAGAGAATGCAGAAATGGGTGATGAAGAGAGAGAGAGATAAAATGATGAAAGTTAAAGAGTTTGGAAGGGAAAAATAATGGAGTTTTGAAGGGGGCAATGATGCAGTGTATGAGGAATGAGGAATGTGTGTATGGGTGTGTGGGTGGCACTGGCAGCACTACATTATAACCACCCTCCCATTCCCGACCACGCTTTCTTTGAACGTACTATGATTTTGTCATTATAAATAGTCTTTTAACGTTGATGGACTCTATACCATTCTTAAGACGATGCTGATGTAGTAAGTAGGAGATGGAAAGAGTATCCATATTCCTTGTATCATAAATTTTCTCGCATTTACTCAACATGAATTTTCCTCCAACAGCACTCAAAAGAGAGTTGTCTTCCTCTTGCATGGATTGTCAAGGAGTGTGATGCTTCGTTGTTGTTTTTAGAAGGACGAAACACTCAATCTTTTTATTTCTCGTTTTATCTTTGATTTCTTCCATTATCACTTTGGATATCATTCTCATTGATAATATTCTCCTAAATCAGATTCCAAAAACGACTTTAAAATCGATATTTGCTCAAATTGGTCTAATTCTTGCTTTAATTGCCAAATACATTATGTATGTCATTCAAAGCCATAACTTCTACGAGTTCCACCATAACCTTTTGAGTTTTTTTTTTTTTTCAATCTATTTCCTCCTTCAGATTGATCTAATATCTAGTTGAGTTATATATTTTTCATTTTGTGTGATTATATTAGCAGTTCTTCATCCCACAATAAAGAACACGATAGGACATTAGGATCCTTCACAGACCTAATCATTTGCATAATAGGATTAGTATTGTGAAGGATGAGGAGATGTATTCGATGGATCACTTCCCTCTCAACCTTAGAGTTTAATTTGATCATCATAGTCAAATATAAGATGTGTTTAACTATCATAGGTGGCTCATTTATCCAAAAGAACTAAGGTAAATGGCTACCTAATTCCTAAATATTTCTAGACACCAAAAATTACAGTGTTAGATAATTGTCTCGGGAGATTAGAAGAAAAAAATCTATAACATGTTTACCCATCTTAAACCATAAGTTTTTTTTAGAAGTTACATAAACCTATGCTTTTGAAATTCATACCTATTTTAGAAGTTTTTAAGTGAAGATATATATATTTTTTTCTTTTTAAAAGTCAACCACTTTCTTAGACAATAAATTAGGATAATCTCATGATCCGAAACGCCTTTAGAGAGAGACCCTCACACACTAAGCATTATAAAAAGGACACTTTCTCTCTCATCATCCAGCGCCACCGCTGTGCCCTCCGACAGCCACCGTTGACGGCCCCACTCGCCGGCGGAATTGTGTTCTTGAATTAGCAGTACGGCGTCGTTCGGTGTTCCGACATGTCGACCCCACGTAGGCGACACTTGAATTTGTGGGCAAAACTGTTCTTGAGCCGCCACACATGGCTTGCACGCGGGCCGTTTCTTACGTGTAATCTAATGATTTTTTTTTATCGAATTCCTTTTTCAATTTTTAGTTGTGCTTATCATAATAGATTTTTTTTTCCCTTTGTATTTATTATTTTGGTTATGTTTGGAATGTATTTATTAGAAATCTTGTATAATTCAACAGATTTGTGTTCTAGGTCTCATACATCGAATATAGAAATTGATGGTTTAAGATTTTTTTCAAATCCAAAAAGGTGATTTGGTTGACTTTGTTTCTTAAAGTAAAATCAACCTTAAAACTTATATTAAATAAAATTTTTAATTTATCTTTTAAATTTTCGGAAAGAATTTACAAAATTAGAATGTAAGCTTATAGTTCTTTCTTTCTTTGAGAAACAATACTGAATATATTTAATATAATTAATTTTTGTTTCTGAAGAAAAAATTAGTTGTCATATTTATAAATTTGTCACATAAAAATAATTTACAAATATGACAAGTTTTTTTCCCGTACAGTGTACTCTTTTTTCATCCTCAACAAAGCATATTTTCAATATACTATTAATGTGATAAATTATATCAAATAATACACTAACCAAGAGTATATTATAAATGTACCATTTTTATAGTGTTGATGCACCTCGCTATTGTAGGATTTTCTTTTTAATAATGATTTATTACAAATTTATTCAAAATATATATCAATCCCAGACTATTTTATCACAATTTTTGAGTTTCATAGCACCTTGTTGGCACATGTGTGTGTGTTTTTTTTTAAATTCTGGCATGTTGTCTCTTCAAGAGACGACATATGCTAAAATTGTATTAATTTATAACTCTGATATATTGGTGGTATGTCTGCTTTATAATAATCATTATACCATAATGATAGATTAATATAGTTTTGCATATGTCGTCTCTTGAAGACATATGTCAGAATTAAAAAAAACACACACACGCACACACATGGCAACTCGAAAATTGTGATATGACATAGGTTGTTTATAATTTTTCAAGCATTAGTTTTAGAAATAGTTTGGAGGTTAATATATATTTGGAATAAGTTTGTAATAAAAACATCATTCATTCGTACGATATGCATATTACATGTCCTGGATTATGACATTTGTGTCATAAAATAAAGAAATAGAAATAAGAACTTGTTTTTTTTCTTCATTTGCTTTAATTCTCTCCCCAGCACTAATAAGCAAAAATGAGTGGCAGAGTAGTAATAAAAATTGACCTCCACCACCCAAAAATTCCATTATTTTTTAGTTGTTGGAACTCAATTGTGTAATGGGTTGGTGGCCACAGCCAATAATATATATACCTAAAATCAAAATGCTTGAGTTGTGAAAGTTGTATCAAACGTTTTGTTCATAATTTTAGTTAAAATTTAGACTAAAGAGTCTGAATCTGATAGATTCCGTAAATTAAATGAAATAAATCACACAAACTAGTTTGTGTGATTTCGTTTATATACAGACTTATTAATCACGAGAGCTTTCTTTTTCTTTCGAAAATCCGAACATGAAAGATTTTGTTTTCAGGTCATGCGTATGTCTTATTTTTCAATCCCACTTTGGAGTGTGCAACTGTGGCTGTGGTTGATTTGGTTCTTTCGCCATCCAGGCTAGAAATAAATTAAGTTATATATCAGGTTTGACTTTTTATTAGATTCTTTAAAAATTCGCCTTTTTTTTTGGAGTTGACCAAACTAATAAAGGACTAAAACTAATATTGATGGATTAGGCCGGTTTAATAACTATTTCATTTTTAAATTTTTAATATTTAAAAAAATTCAGCTTGTTTTCTCACAAATTTTTTTGTTATGTATTCATGTTTCTTACGAACACACGATTTAAGTTTTTAGTCAAATTTCAATAAATAAATAACAATATTTTTTAATTTTTAAGAATTGACTTAGATTTTGAAAATGTTTTTAAGTTTAATTTTTTTTTAAAAAAAGCAAACAATAAAATAGTTATAAGTAGGTTCAAATTTGCCGGTTGTTTGAATTGTAATGCTAAAATATTTAAAAATAAAGATTAATTCAAAGTTTGGGTTTCTCACCCTAGTAGTTCCGGAGAATCCAACAACACGAGAATCAGGAACGGAGAGCTTTCCCAAAGAATGGAAGTGGCGATATCATAGTTCTTGTCTGTCTGCTGTAATTGACATATATCTCAAAACAAGAGATTGTGAGTTCGATCCCCACCCCACATGTTGTACTAAAAAAACTAAAAAAAATAGTGATGGTTACGTGTAAATTCAGTCGCATCTAAACCTAACAATACGAAGGTGAAAACTTTTAATTTTTTATTATTTTTATTAATAGGATGAAGTTGAGGATTTAAAACTTCAATCAATTATAAATACTTAATCAATTGAGTTATAATCAAATTTACATGCAAAAGTTAATTTTATTTGGTTCAAAAATCTCGAAATTTGAAAATTTTATGCATCTAAAAATGTACGGTAGACATTCTGGAATTGGATACGGATTAAATTCGCATTTTTAAGCTCTTCACCTAGAAAACGGAAGACATTTATGATATTGGCCGTCGGAACTCAACATTTTATTTTCGTTGGAACGTTCAGATGGTTTAGTTTGGGGTTTTTGTTTAAATAGTATTGTAAATGAAACTTATTTTAAAAATATAGTTGTTTAATTAAAAATATTAAAAATATTGTAGGTTTTAAAATTTTTTTTTAAAAATATTGTAATTTTAAAAAATAGAAGGTTGGTCGTCTCTTCAAGAGACGACCATTTAGACGTGACGCCACATGGGCGCCACGTAAATTTTTTTAAAAATTTGAACGTGGTCGTCTCTTCAAGAGACAATCATCCGATCGGTTCATTTTTTGAAAAAAAAAATATAAGTTTTTATATTATATATTATTTAATAGTTTTAATGCAATAAAATCTTTAGTGGTGTAGTGGGCATGCTACTCCCAAGTTCGAATCTTAGGTTAAGGTATAAAAAAAGAAGTTTTGAATGGAAATGGTAATATCGAGTAAAAAAGAGAAAAACAAATAATAATATAAAATATAAACAAGAATATATAAAATAAAAGAAAATACATTGATAATAATAAATTTATCATTATTATTAAATAAAAAGAAGTTTTGAATGGAAATAATATTAAGTAAAAAAGAGAAAAATAAATAATAATATAAAATATAAAAGAAAATACAATGATAATAATAAATGTATCATTATTATTAAATAAATAATATATATATATATATATAAATATAAAAGAGAGATGATTAATGGTTATAAAAAACAAAATGTATAACTCAAGATTCAAACCAGAAAAACATTAGAGTAATGGTACACCCACCACACTACTAAGGATTTTATTATATTAAATCTACTAAATAATATATAATATAAAAACTTATATTTTTTTTTTCCAGAAATGAGCTGACCGGGTAAATGATTGTCTAAATGATCGTCGTCTCAACCTTCTGTTTTTTAAAACTACAATATTTTTAAAAAAAGTTTTAAAACCTACAATATTTTTAATATTTTTAATTAAACAACTATATTTTTAAAATAAGTTTTATTTACAATAATATTAAAAAAAAATCCGGTTTAGTTTAGTTTCTTTTTAGCCATACTGGATATACTTAAAAGTAAAATAATAATAATAATAATAATAATAATAATTTAATCACTAAATTTTTAGATTTAGCTTTAGAAAAGACTTTTAGATTTATTATATTTTGTTACCTCAATTTTCAAAATGTTTATTATAATAGACTCTTTTTTTTTATTACTTTATATGGCATCAGAGTAGGGGTTTTTTTTTAATATTGTTATAAATGAAACTTATTTTAAAAATATAGATGTTTAATTAAAAATATTATAGATTTTGAAACTTATTTTAAAAATATTGTAGTTTTAAAAAACTGAAGGTTGGTCGTCTGTTCAAAGAGACCATTTAAATGTGGCGCCACACGTAAATTTTTTTTTTAAAATTTGAACGTTGGTCGTCTCATGTGGGATGGTCGTCTCTCAACCATCCGGTTGGTTCATTTCTGAAAAAAAAAGTATAATATTTTATATTATATATTATTTAGTAGTTTTAATTTAAAAGATTCCTTAGTGGTGTAGTGGGTGTACTGTTGCTTAATATCTCTTGACCCAAAATTCAAATCTAGGATAGAAGAAATATTAAGCAACAGTGTACCCACTCCACCGCTAAAAAATCTTTTGAATTAAAACTACTAAATAATATATAATATAAAACATTATACTTTTTTTTTCTTGAAATGAACCGACCGGCCATCAAATTTTAAAAAAAAATTTATGTGGCGCCCGCATGGCGCCACGTCTAAATGGTAGAGACGACCAACCTTCAGTTTTTTAAAACTACAACATTTTTAAAATAAGTTTCAAAAACTATAATATTTTTAATTAAACAACTATATTTCTAAAATAAGTTTTATTTACAACAATATTAAAAAAAAATCCTGAGTTTTTTGTACATGAAATAATTTTTTTTTGGCCACTTTCTTTCTCTTTACCAATCTCATGGCCAAATCAGAGTCACCAATTACCGTACAGACCTTCTATCACTGCTCTGGTTTGGTTTCAATCAAATTAAACCACTCAAACTACCTACGTGGAGGTCACAAACATTATTTTAATCTTTTTTATAATTTTGCCATCTCAATATTTATTTCAGTTAGTACACTAGTACGGATACTTTTTTTTTAATAAATGAGATTGCATCAATAAGAAACAAAACCATTAAAAATTAACCAACAAAAACACTCAAGCATTCCGATAACAACAAACACGCTGACCGTCCAAGCATCAAAAGAGGGGACTGGCAAGTTTGGTTTGAATATTCACCGATTGGGTGGATCTATATGCTCTGGGGGTTGCCTCTCTTCTTCTCCAAGAGAACATTGATTGCCGGCCTCGCGAAGCGCTCTCTCAGACGTTTCCACTCCTGCCCCCGCAAGCAAAGAGGTTTCATTCAAGATACCAGGCCCCATTTTTTAGCGCCTTTCAAGAGGCGCAGCGCTGTCGAAGGTCCCCGATCTATAGAAAAGTAGTGACTACGCACCACATTCAAAATCCAAGAAGGAAAACATCTATAAAAAAAACAATCAGAAATGACATGTTCGGCCAATAAAACACCTTGTTTGTTCAAAGAACGAGGAATATGAACAAAATTCAACTCACAAAATCTCTTTTCCAAAGTCACAACATCTTCACTCTCACTCAATCGTGTCAAGGAAACTCCTCAATTAATGAAGGAATCTTGTCTTTTATGGCACCAAGAAGGAAAATGATTTCATCCACAATTGCCTTATTCTTCACCATGAAAGGTAAGGAAGAAGCAAAATTTCCTCAAATGAAATTGGAAACTGAAGCTGGCCTATTAATACCCCTAACATTTGCCATCAGATCCGCTCTATGAGAAAAAATCGCGACTTCCATATTTGAAGATGGAACTACTATTGCTGATTTCGGTGAGTTTTCCTGCCCCCCTACATCTCTTCTTCCATTCTAATTTTTGTCTTCTTATTTATCTAATTAATGCCACCACTTATGTCTTGTGATAAAGAAGACAAGGTTTATGACAATTAGAAACATCATCACAAACTTCTATAATATGACCCACCAAGCCACAATGGTAACAAAGTCCGACAATTAGTCATAGCTTATTGATATCTAACGACCCTTCATTGGACCATTGAGATTAACTTTAACTCCCCATCATAGAGGTTTATGGATATCAATTGAAACATGGACTCTCAAATTGCTGTCCCAATAGATTCTATTTCGAAGGGAGTATCAATCCTTTTCTATTCTTCGGGAGTAAGAAGAAATGAGAATGTATTTCTAGCGTTGAAAGTAGCAATAGCCGTAACATCAATAACAATGGTAAGTTCATATTCTTCAATGGTTAACTTAAAATTTTCTCACTCTTTGAACAAATCATCCGCAGCTATTGGAGGAAGACCAAAAGGAAGACAGATGATTGAGAAGAAAAAAATAAAAGAAAATACTCAAGACTTGTTGTGGAGACTGAGATGAAGCTGCTTGGAGACTGAGAGAAGCTCTCATATCAAATAGACATTTTGAGATTTCAATCAAATGGTGGAAAATACTTGAAAGTTTTAGAAAATAGATTAGCATTTTGAAAGTTCAGTGAACAAAATAAAAAGAAAGTTAAAATTAAAATTAAAAGAAAAAACAAACTCAAACTCAACCAAAATCGATCTAAGGCTAATTTTTACTATTAGTTTGGTTTAAATTGTTATAAATACAGACCGACATAAATCGATTAAATCCAATTAAAACTAATCAAACCGTTCCAAACCAAATTGAACTAAACAATTTTAATTTTAAAATCAATAATATTTCTTAAAGGAAAAAAAAAAACCCCTCGTATAAAGGAAAAAAAACCCCTCTCGCTATAAATTTTCCACCGGCTATTTTTGCGATAAAAAATACATCTTATTCCACTTTTGCCCCTCCCTCACCGGCCATTCCCAGAAAAATCCCAGTAGGTTTCAAAACACCGCCCTCCGAATTCATCTGTTTAATTTGCTCCGATGGATTTCTTCTCCGTCTTCTCTGGCGACGAAAAGTCGGAGGAACACGACGACAGCGGCGGCGTTTCAGTTTCTAATCTCTCCAATCCAGGTACCACTTGGAGCTTCGGTGGCCTGATTAAGACTCTGGCGACCAAGTCCGAATCTGTTATTTCGAACTATCGCCGTGATCTCGAGGAATTAGGATCCGGATTGAGGAACGAGACGTCGGTGATCCGAGAAGTCGCATCGCGTGCCGTGAAAGACCTTCCGACTACGCTCGATGTCGGCGCATCCGTTGCACAGGAGTCGCTTGAGTCGGTCGGCCAAGCCATAGACGACATCGGAAGCGCCGTCTGGAAATCGACGTCGAAGATTATCTCACATGGTAGGGAGACGTTTTTAGCTGCCGATCTTGTTTCTGGAAATCATGAAAATAATAGCGATGTTTCTCTTTTGCCAAAGCAATTAGGAAGTAGCAATAGTAGAAATCTCGAATTCAAACAGTATAATAGGTTCAATACGCAATTGCTCGCGCTTCAGCGAGACCTGAATACGTATTTGGAGGAAACTGAGGATTCAGAAGATTACAAGAAGTGGCAATTAGGTTTCGTATTGGAGGATAAGGAAGAGGAAATTGATAGTTTGGTCAATGAAAGTGAAGATGTTCGAGAGATTTATCGGACGGTTGTTCCAACCACAATCGTCCGCGAGCTCTTTTGGAGCAGGTACTTTTACAGGCTTCACAAGCTAAAGCAAGCAGAAGAAGCCAGAGTGAAGCTTGTGAAGCGAGCAATTTCTGCAAAAGAAGAGGAAGATTTGAGTTGGGATTTCGAAGACGATGATGAAACTGAGGAGAATTCCAGTGGAGTTCTCAGTACCGACAGTTCAGAGAATGACAAAACAGGAGAGGGAAACGTGAAGAGTGATAGCTCTAAGAAAATTGCCGTTTCTGAAAGCAGCGATAAGAAATTGGAAGAGAAAGTGGCGGCAGATGGAAGAGCAGACGGCGGCGATTCCTGTAAAGACAGCGACATATCAATCATTTCCAGTCAGGCACCGTCGTCCGGGGAAGAAGAACTTGGATGGGACGAAATTGAAGATATTGGAACCATTGATGAGACGAAAGGCAATTCCTCTGGCAGTACGAAAAAAATTGATTTGCACAAGCGGCTAATTGTGGCAGAGGAAGAGGAGGATCTGAGTTGGGAAATTGAGGATGAAGATGAACCTGCTAAATCATGAAGAAAAGATCTTTTTTTTTTTATACCTCAAATTATACAGTCCATAGAATCTATGATTTTGAGACTACAGGAATGAAACATATTCATTTGGGTGGTGATTATTATATTTCTTGTTCATATCTTATTGTCCTTTGTCATGTATAAATTGGCTCTGTTTTTGCTTCAACTTCATCTGGGTATTGATTACAGGTTACAATCACATGGAAATCAACTTTAAACAATGTAGTACTGGAAATATTAAAGGGTACACACTATTTTAAAATCGAACATTGGTGGAGAATTATGAAAAAGAACGGCCAGAATTATGTTCTTATGATTCCAGAGATCAACGCAATACGTAAACGTAGTTGAATTGAGAAATTTACATAAAAATTTCAGATCGATAAGATTCCGTAGGCGTCGGGCCCAGTTCGCGCCATAGCTCGAAGCCCTTGGATATAGATGCCAAGCAGATCGCTGCGGCGACTGAGCCAGTGACGTTAGCCTCTCTCTCTCTCTCTCTCTCTCTCTMTATATATATATATATATAGACGCATATATAAATATTATATATATATTGATGTATATGGACATACTACACAGTGTCGCGATTGATTGTTGCCCTAGCGAATGGTCAAGCCCTAGGGGGCGAAGGTTGAAGATGGGATGGAGAAGAAGAAGAATTTGCCGCCGTTCGGGTTTCTGTGAGAATGGTGACGGCTCTATCTCGCGCCAAAATGTATGAGAGAAATTGTTTGGGGGTACGAATTCGTCGCGCAGTCTCGTAATTCATCGTTCCTCTCTCTCTTTGTTGATGGACAAGCTTTTGGGCACTCACTTGACGAATATGGCGAGGTAAATTGAAACGGGGAAATTTTTTTAGTTCTACTGTTTTTCTTGAATTTACTTGTCGTCTTCTTGTTCGTTGGTCCACTTCCCAATCGGGATTGGTTTTTCGTTGTCTGAAGATTTGCGATTCTTCTGGTTTCAGTTCTTTGCTCCTTTTTTTTTTTCCTTTTCTTCTCTGCGAGGATTTTGTTGGTTCTTCTATCTGTGATGCAATCTTTTAGAGTAGAAAATTGTAGATTTCAGTTTCGTTATTTGAGATGACGCCATGGGATTTTCCAACTGAAGAATGGTATTGAGCTCACAGGCTGCAAGTTTTCTTGCAGCTTTTTTTCTTACCTAGTGATTCATCTTTCTGGAGTTATCTGTTCTTATGTTGTTCTAATCATAAGATGTCTTTGATTTTTGCTTTTATCTATGCTTGCCCTGCGCAGAAGTAAAAAACATTGTTCTTTGAAGCTTCTGGAGATTTTTGTTTTGTTTTTTTTTTAGCTGTTTGTTCATTTCTCTGCTGTTTGATGTTGTATTCTATAATTTGCAGTTCAGACACTGATCTTAACAATGAACAGTGTGAGAATGCTCTGATTGTGAAGGCATATCCAATCGGTATGGTACGGGCAACGGATATGGATGAAGTGGGTGGAGAGAATGCGGGGAATTGTATGCTTGAACCATATGTGGGGCAGGAGTTTGATTCAGCTGATGCAGCTCTTAGTTTCTATAATTCATATGCACAGCACCTTGGATTTAAAGTTCGAATAGGTCAGTTGTACAGATCACGAACTGATGGGACGGTATCTTCTCGCAGATTTGTGTGTTCGAAGGAGGGGTTTCAGCTTAGTTCACGCACAGGGTGTCCTGCAGTCATACGGGTACAGAGGCGTGATTCTGGGAAGTGGGTCATTGACCTTTTTCACAAAGATCACAATCATCACCTTGAATGTGATGGTGAGGAAACCCCTCCTCCTGTTCTGCAAGTTAAGGCTCCTAGATCTGCAAGATTGACTGTTAATGTTTCTCATAGACGAAAAGTTCATTTGTTTAAGAATGTTGAAGACGACTTCCTCTGTCCTTCGAGAATTATCAATACGAAGCATTTAAACGAGAGAGCAAATGTAGTGCAACGGAAGGGCGAGCCTTGTGTTGGTCTGGAGTTCAACTCAGCAAATGAGGCATATCAGTTTTATAATGCCTATGCTGCAAATGCGGGATTCAGAATACGCATTGGTCAATTGTTTCGATCGAAGAATGATGGTTCAATTACATCAAGACGATTTGTGTGCTCTAAGGAGGGATTTCAACATCCGTCAAGATTAGGCTGTGGGGCATTTATGAGGATTAAGAGGAATGAATCTGGAAGATGGGTTGTAGATCGCCTTAAGAAAGATCATAATCATGATCTTGAGCCTCAAACAGAAGCTCAAAAAAGAAATCTAATAGCTTCCAAAAGACTTATAGGAGAACTGGGTGGCGGATTTGAATGCAAAGAACCAGTCAACTTGAACAGTGGACTTGTCATTAAGAGAACTCGGGAGAACAAAATTTGTAGTGATTGGTATCCAGGTCTTTTTGAATATTTCCAATCCAAGCAAGCAGAAGATACAGGATTCTTTTATGCAGTAGAAGTTGAGAATTCTAATTGCATGAGCGTTTTCTGGGCAGATGGCAGGTCTCGATTTTCTTGTAGTCAGTTCGGTGATGCAATTATCCTTGACACCTCATATCGGAAAAGCGCTTATGTGGTGCCATTTGCAACTTTCACAGGAATTAATCACCATAAACAACCTGTTCTTCTTGCATGCGCTTTAGTTGCTGATGAATCTGTAGAATCCTTCTCGTGGCTGTTTCAAACATGGCTTCGAGCAATGTCTGGTTGCCGCCCACTTTCAATAATTGCTGATCAGGACAATGGTATTCAACAAGCAGTTGCACGAGTTTTCCCCGGAACTTTGCATCGTTTTTCACCGTGGCAAATCAAGGAAAAGGAACAAGATAATCTCAGCATGCTGGACGAAACTTTTAGATTTGAATATGAAAAATGCGTTTACCAGAGTCAGACTGCTGAAGAATTTGATGTCGGATGGACCACTCTTATCGGGAAGTATGGGTTGAAGGAGAATGCTTGGTTTATAGAAATGTATATAAAGCGTAACAACTGGGTTCCATTGTTCTTGCGGGTAACTTTTTTTGCAGGCATCCCCACAACTGACAACATCGAATCATTTTTTGGTACAGCATTCAATGCTCGAACACCAGTTGCAGAGTTCATTTCTCGTTATGAAATTGGGTTGGAGAAGCGTCGTGATGAAGAAAGAAAAGAGAGTTTGAACTCTCTAAACTTGCAAGGTTTTCTGCAAACAAAAGAACCAGTAGAAGAGCAATGTCTCAGACTCTATACTCACGCAGTGTTCAAGGTGTTCCAGAAAGAACTCCTGCACTGCTACAGATATCTCGGATTTAAGATTTTCGAGGAAGCGGCTCTCAGCAGATACCTGGTGCGTCGGTGCGAAAATGACAACGAAAAATGTGTAGTCACAGTGATATCAACAAATCTGACTGTGAATTGTAGCTGTAAAATGTTTGAATACGAAGGTATACTATGTCGACATATTATGAGGGTGTTCCAAATACTAGGAATAGGCGAAATTCCACCCTGCTACATCCTACACCGGTGGACTCGAAATGCTGAGTACGGAACACTGCAAGATATGGACTCAGATGGCGGCCCTCAAGAACTCAAGGCCGTGATGCTATGGAGTCTGAGAGAAGCTGCTTGTAAATACATCGAGGCTGGGGCAACATCTCTTGAAAAGTACAAACTTGCGTATGAGATTATGCGAGAAGGTGGAAGGAAACTCCGTTGGCAAAGATAAATATGGAGGTTAGAATGTTATCTGTCTTCTTAATTTTTTACTGCATGCACATGCACTTTTATCTTTTACTTTTTACTTTTTGTTTTGTTATGGGTTGGTTGGATTACTTTAGATATGTGACCCGGAAACCATGAGATTGTGTTGTGGGGATGATATTTCTATACTTGAATGTATATAAATATGTAAATGAATGGAATTTGGATTACTTTGAATGAGGTAACATCTGAATATTGGTTCCTTCATGGAACTCGGATTTTGACGAAATCATGTAATACTTGAAGATGATCAACTTCCAAGTGCTTGGATTTTTTTGTTTTATTTTTGAAAGAAACCAAGGGACCTAGAGACAAGGTGCCCCTCGTCCTAAGATTACAAAAACACCTTCCAATCTAAACCGATGGTGTAGGTGGGATAGTTACAAAATAAGTCGTGTTGTGCACTCGAATAAAAGAATTTGACGTATCTGAGAAAATTCTATTGATCCTTTCTTTCCAAGTCAACCAAACAATTGCCTTTGGCCACGTTAGTCCAAATCACTTGCATTCTTTGATATGGAAGTTAGTCCAAATCACTTGCATTCTTTGATATGGAAATTAGTCCAAGTGCTTGGAAATTGTTGAGACACCCTAGTGTTCATTTGCATTCTTTGATGTGTCGGTGATATAAGGGCTTGTAACACTCGGAATGTTTGGTGGTACTCTCTAAGGTTTTGGGTTCGAATCCTTAGGTTAAGAGTCTTGTTGTCTTTCAAATTTAATCTTGACGGAGGCGAAGCTTCCTTAAAATTAGCGGGGATGGACTATGAGCATAATACGTGTTAAGTATGAGCTCTTATGAAAAAAGTTACATTATGAGTCTATGATTATTGTTCCATGAGTTCTAGATTTCTAAAATCTTTTGTGACCTTTGATGTTACAAACCATGAGTAATGGCCATGATCTAAGAGAGAACGAAAAGAAATCTATAATAACAATTATGAACTTTTTCTATTTCGAAGTTCACACATTATAAGAATTTTTTTTTTACAAAAAGAAAAACACATGATAGACAACATCGACATGTCATCTCGACATCAAATCCACACGAAATCAATGCGTAAAATAATAATAAAAAAAAGTTTAAAGTACAAGATATGAGAAAGGTTGTTTGTTTCATTCAAACCCTTCCTTCAAGTCGGTTGCCATAAAAAATCATCTCTTCAACTCCAACTTGGATAGCGCCTGTGCATAACAACTGAGTTGCACTTGTGATGATTGTCATTACCTCCAAGGTCCTCTGTGTACAAAATATTCCACATTTCAATTGTTAAATCTCTTTTTTAGAATGTCTCGTCTATCTTGTACATTTCTTGATCAAGATCATAGACTACTAATCATATTAGCAGTATTTAAGAAAGATGTGGAATGATAAAGTAAAATAATATATCAACATGAACATAGCTTAGCAATAAAGTTCAAATCCGCACAACCTACATTTATAGTAATACAATGTTGTAAATTTTTTTCCTATTGAATAGTTGCTCTCTTTTACTTTCTTTATTAAAATAATTAGTGCCTTCACAATATTTTAGGTAGACGATGACTGAGGATCGACTTTCTAAGTTATTAACTTGTCTTTTCACTACTCGATCTATTCGTAGAGCTACTTTTGGCTTTCTATGTTTTAGGAAGCATCAAGTAAAGTTTTCTTTTTTTTTAACAAAGATAATTAGAGGCAGTGGATTTAAATAAAGAAGAGGTCTTTTAGATCAACTAATTATTGTCAATCAATCTATCACTTGGATTGACACATGTTTGGAATTACTATTTAAGTTGATGGCTAATTATAGGACCAAACAATGCCTTACCAAGTTTGAAGTTGTCCAACCAAGTTCCATTTCTTTCCAAGCAAACCTGAAAAACAGAATTTAAAAATGTAGAAACAATGTTTATAATCAAATAACCACTGGAAAGTGATCAAAAACTGAGAAAATAATGAACAAAATTTACCCCATAGCAAGTATGGTGACTGCCCAAGTTGCAAGAGAGGAAACAGATGCTGTGTGCAAGTCTGAGGCATTCCATTTTGAGACATTGGTGATTCCTGTGGCTGATGTTGCCATTCCCACAACCCCAGCAATCAGAGAGAATATAACAAAGAATCCTGTCGCCATGTTTCCGACGGGGAAGTATATCGGAAACAAGTGAGCTGGCGGTGACAATGTCGATGCTACAAATCCACACGCGAGTAGAGACTTAAAAGACTAGAAAAACTTGTTATATGCATGGGCTAATAAAGTTTGAGATGTCAGTTGAAAAGTTACCTGTTTYGAAAGATTTCTCCATCGCGTGATTTACCGTCCACGAAGCCATGACAGTTATGATGAAGTAGAGTACAAGGTTAAGGACTAGAAGGACAGAAACCGCTGATCGCGCTTGACTAGCCATGGATTTTTTGGAGCTTAGAGAAGCTAAGAAAGGGAAAGAGAGAATGAAGTTGCCTCCTTGGCTTGAGCTCAGGAGAGATACATATTTAAGCAAGAAGTTGTTCTTTTCCCACAGAAAGCAAAGGACAGTTCATTTTCAGGTTAAAAGTATTCCTTTATTTTCATCTTCAAGAATCAAAATGCAGTTTCTTCAGTACAAAGGCACGGCCAAAGTTCCTTTCCAACTGTTAGGCTTGCCTCCTATGGGAGGCAAGAACAAGATTCCATTATAACTAAACCAAGATTGAATTATTGGAACGAGAATCATCGAGGCTGTTCGGGAATCATGTTTTACGATCATTTTCTATCTCTAAAGATAAAACAGTTTCGGGTCGATGTAACTAACTTATAGGCAAGAACAAATCAATTGTCTTCCTAGTATCTGCGAAACAATTTTCAAATAGTACGCTAGAACAACCGTTACTTTACCGTGTTGGTCGACGTATTTGGATCGACGACTGAAACCATCTATAGAGAAGCAAAATGTATGCATAAATTCGTAACCAGATGGTAACTGATCAAGGGGCACAGTCCAAACCCAATTGAATAAACATTAAAATAAAATGAACACAAACAGTTCTTTGTCTAGAACATGCATCAAATAAATTCAATCAGAAACAAGTCAAATCATCTGCAAAGTTCACAGATGAAGGTTTGTTCTGAAAAGCTTTGACTACTGGAAGACTTCAAGACCTTTATATACAAAAGGTCTTCTCTGCGTTATCCAACAGAATGAGGGAAACTCTTCTCCATGTTCGAGTAATTTATCCTAATCAACTTAGAACTTTGCCCTCGAGACCATATACGACTCATTGGCTCTAGACCTTCAATGAGACTTTCTGAGCAGCAAGTGCTTCGGCCTCGAGCGTTGGCTCCCACAGTATCGTTGTTTCTGCCAGCAGCGCAGTCACGACGTATGGGTCCATGTTTGAAGCGGGACGTCGGTCTTCCAAATAACCTATTACATGACAACATCACAGACTAAATGTCACTGCCCGAATTGTAAATATCAAACACTTTCAGAAATCAGAAGCAGACTCCAACATCAGAAAAGGAAGTTTCTTTTATAAGTGTGTTTTTACTGCTAATTTCAGCATCATCATGATATAACACATACCTTTGCCTTGCTTCTCAGTGTCACGTCCCACACGGATTGAACAACCACGGTTGGCCACTCCCTGCAGTTGGAATTTTCAACAGAATTTTCAATCCATATTTTTTCCATCCCCAAATATTTTTTATTGTTTGTCACAAACAAGCGTACGGGATCTTAGAACATACCCAGGAGAAGGTGTTAATGCTTGCCGTTTCGTGCTTTCCTGTCAACCTTCTCTCATTCCCTTCTCCATAAGCACTAATATGATCCTTGTGGCGAAGAGACAGATTCAGAATAGCCTTCTTGATGACTTCAAAACCTCCCTCCTCTCTCATGCTCTTCGTACTGTAAAGTAACGGATTTTCTGTGAATTCTAACTGCTACATTATCATTTAATTGTTCATCAACAATCGTATCTAATAAAAGAGAATGCATCCAAGTACCTGTAATTGGTGTGGCATCCAGCTCCATTCCAGTCACCCTGCCAATGAAGATGAATCAGACAAGTCCATTTAACCAGTCAATATCAAGAATAAATAGTACCCAACAGTTTAAGCTAGCTACCTCAATTGGTTTTGGATCAAGTGAGAGAACCACCCCAGCTTGCTCAGTAATCCTCTGTCAGGACAGAGAAGAAAACACGGGTTCTCATACATCCAACAAAAAATAAAAGCATGAAGATAACACAAAATGAACATCAGAAGACTACATACTCTGTCGTTCATCTCGCGACTTGTGAGCTAACTTTATCAATATAATCGAGACTAAAATGGTATTCAATTTGTTGGTTAAAAGTCTTGTAATGGAGGAAGTTGGAGCCTTTATTCTATTTGATGGTTAAAAGCTAAGAAGCATGGATACGGACGTGAGACACAGATACGATACGACACGAACACGGTAAGAACACGTTTATTTAAAATATAGCATTTTTTAAAGTATATATCATTGTTATAATAGAAGGAAACTCAACAAGCTTATGCATTTTTATGCTTAAAAAAATGAGTTTGATATATTTTATTCTCAAATTTATTATTTTGTCCTATATTATTTGCATCTATTCTTTATGCTAATAAGTGTTTGATACGTGTCTAAAATCCAGTACGTGTTCAATAATTGTCGAAGTGTCAGAATGTCCAATACAAACATGTTACCCAAATTCAAGGTTCCATGTTTAAGTGTGAATTACAAGATTATACCTACTCAAGGGTAAACAAGGATGAGTTACCTCAAGAATGTATCTAGAACACCAAATATGATCTCCAGCTTCGATCCCAACGCTAGGGCCAACTTGATATTCCCACTGCATGCCAAATGTAGTAAATAATGTATTAAAAGAATTGCACAAATAATCGCTTGATTTTGCAAGCCAGAGGACCCAAGTGACAGAGAGAGAACCTGGCCAGGCATAACTTCTCCATTGGTGCCACTGATGTTGATACCAGCGTATAAGCAAGCCTTGTAATGAGCATCTGATATATCTCGGCCAAATGACTTATCGGCTCCGACACCACAGTAATAAGGACCCTACCATAAACAAGAATTTTATTGCAGATGAAGTTAATATGATATTTTATAATGAAGCATGGTAATGAAACTGTGATGATCAATATCATTAGAACTTCAACCTGAGGACCAGGATAGGCTCCAACTGGCCAACCTAATGGCCACTTCACATTTGTTTGAAGTAAGGTGTACTCTTGCTCTATCCCATACCTAAATCACAATGGTTTCAGTATATTCTGCATTAAACATGTACCACCAATAAAGGAGAAAAGAAAATAATTCTTGCATCTCTAACAAATGGCCATCTAAAAGGGATGGCAACACTCCCGAAGAAAAAGATTGGTGAGGGCTTGCAAAGCTTTTTTCAAATTACCAACTTAAAAGCTTAAGTTATTGGTTACGGTAAATTTAATCGTTTATAGATACCTTAATACTCCCCTTCACTTGTTGGCTTAAAAATTTGCACAAGGCCCAATAAGTGGTAATCAATATTAAATGGGGAAGAATAACATTACAGGACTTCATTAAAAGACCTCGTGCTCTGATACCATATTAAATCAAAAAGTTTAAAATATTTAATTTTTTATAGATACCTTAACAATTTTTTGCTATCCCTACCATCTCTCAACAAAAGGCCCATTTTTTTACTTACATTTATATAAGTGAACCCACATTTTTACTACAATGTCATGTCCACACCTCAAAATTATAATAAGATATTAAACTTGAAAGAAGAGATTGGACAAATATCAAAAAGGAAAAAGAAAACTAGGAACAAGTAAACCATAAAGGACAGCTATAATATATCATGTAAAGTTAAATATTTTATTCACATAAAAATGCTTGACTTAATTGGAGTACTAACCAAGGAATTTCATCCACAACCTTCTTGTTGCTAAAAATCTCAGCAGCCCTGTGGCGTTTGTTTGTAGGGATAGGCTCGCCTGCTGGTGTGTATGCATCGCAAATTACCTTTATCGGATGACAAGATCGAACATATTCAGATATTTACAATGATGTTTATTTCTTTAAACAGTAAATCACTCACCAAAATATTGTTGCCACCACGGAAGGGATCCTTAAAAATTGCTTGAGGGCTGGATAAAAATATTAAAATCATGATGCTCAGATGAAGGCACTGAATGTTATAGTTATACTTCGAAAAATGTATTAGTTTGATGTCTTAGAACATACTATAGAATGACTTCACTGTCTTCCCCAGGTGCTTGTCCAGTACTAGATCCATCATAGTTCCACTTGGGAAGCTCAGATGGGTGTTCAACGGGCTTTGATATGGTCTGATAGTATCAAATCATGAACGAAGCGAAATAAGAATGATGAGGGACCTCTCGGTTCAATTAAAGTGTCGAAATTTTACCATATAATCAGAACCAGAAGATAGCATACCCTTGACTTACTACGCAAATCAATGCCAGATCCTCCAATCCTATTACAAAATCCAGAAGTTTAAGATTTTACACCATCACTAAAAGGGAAAACATGTCATTTGAAATATGCAGGTTCAATGGTTTTGCTGTTAGTTTAACCACCACAAATGATGAAATATAATGCAGTGAACCTTCACTGCTCTTTCCCCTTTTTTAATGAACAACGGGTAGTTTCACTTACAATCAAAAACTCCATTTTTGCCGTGGCAGTCGACAGTACTTTTACTGTTTTAAATATGAGATCAAACATTCTAATCTGCTGTGACGTGCGAAATATACATGTTAAGAAAAGAAGAGATATACCAAATATATTCAGCAATAATCTTGTCAGTATAAGGAGTGATGTCCAGATTTAGAAGATCTTCCATCCTGTTGATAGTGCCACTTTCAGATTTGACGGCGAATACTCTGAATTTAGAAGAGCTTCTTACTGATCCTTTCTTGTTTTGCCTCATAAGTAGAGAGTTCCACATCTTAGGAGTAATGGGGCTTGCACTCGTTGCACTCTGTTTGGTTCTCATCTGCCATTGAGTAGATGGTGCTAAAATCTGAGCCATCTTTTGCGCCTACTCCTGACAAGAGATCATTCACAGATCAAAACCTCCAAACTGAAGAATCTCAGACACAAAATATTAATCAGCCGTCCCAAGTAATTGCTTTATTATGTTCCTACTCTTTCAGTAAGACAATAACTAGATTGTTTCAGGAGAATGCTGTTCAACAAGACCACCATTTCTTCATAACCAAAGTCAATGTACTAAAACATAAATATTGTTCTTAGTTCATCCTCCAAGTCTATATCCCTAGCGAATATGATCAATGAGATGAGAATGATGATCATAAGAAATGAAATGGTCACATGAACAAACCAGAAAAACCAAAGTAACAGTCGACCAATCGACTGAGAAACTATGCCAATGTCAAAAGTATGGGGCGTCAGACAGTAAAACGTGGCCACATTCACCGAACACACAACAAGCCGCTAACCCAGATAGTGAAATCCCAAAAACTTACGAGAGGACAATCGGAGAGTGGCCGGGAACAAACCCAGAACTGGGTTTCGCCGATAATGGAGGAAGAAGAAAGTGGGGGGATGGAGGTTTCAGGATAGAGAGATAGAGATTCCTTGTGGCTGTGTTGAAATGGAGCAAGATCCTACAGGCGACAACCAAACAAAAGGGGATTGTTTAAAGGGTTATTTGTTGGCTTTTGGAAAGTAGATAGGGGTGCACGATGAATGGAGGAAAATCGATTTTGGGTTTCGAGAGATAGAGGCTTTTACGAAGTTTCCATGGAAAGATGAGAATTGGGTATTGAATAATGAAGAATCCTGCTTGATTTGGCTGATTCCAGCATTAAATTACTAATACTTTTACGCTTTCCACAGCAAAAACAACATGGGTTTGAGAGAATCTTGCATGTTGATGACTGGGTGAACTATTCCTTCACACAATTTAATTTACTTTTCAACTTCTTTGTTTATTCATTATTGGTTGATTCAATTTGCACTACTTGATTACTCAGAAATTCAAAATTGTGGTTGAGATTGAAAGTTGACCGTTGAAAGTTGAAGCTCTCTTTTTCTGGTTAATCAATCCAAATCCACTGTTTCAGGAAGGTGGAGCATCACAAATCATTTGAAAACCTCACTTTTCCTCTGACCAAGTAAAAAAATTGTACTTCACTGCTAAATTCTAGACACAAATTAAACTGTACTTTAATTTCAGATTCTTTTTGTTTGTTTTTATTATTTACTCATATAACCTTTTAATCTCAACTTATTAATTGAAAGTTAAAAATGTGATAATATTAAATAATTTATTTTGACTTTTAATGAACTCCAATAGTTTTAGTTAAGATTTCAAATCATTTATTTTGAATTCATTTGAAATTACTCTAAAAACGAATATACTATTAAGATTTTGTCAACAAAATTCAATACTATTTTTTAATATTGTCTGGGTCGGCCTCTAAAAATTTAAAATCCACAAACTAAAATGAAATAAATATTCAATTTGAACACTATAAAATTTTGTTGTCCTTATCACACATTTTTTTAATTTGGATTATTTTTAGAATTTGACATTTAACCTAATAGTGTGGCTTGATGTATTCTTATTAAATAAATTAGTGAAAAAATAATTTAAAAAAAATATAGACTGCAAGAATTGAAAAGGAATTTATATTTTTATAAGTGCATTGTTTGAAAATGTAGCATATTTGTTCTATTTTCAAATTATTCTAACAAAATAACTAAAAATACGGAGACTTAAAAAAATAAAATAAAAAACTATGATCTCATTTCTTTCCCAATTGGTAGAATGGAAATAAAGTTGTTAATATTATATTATATCTACGAAAATGATTTATGTTAATTTTTTTAATGGCATTCAAAATTAAATTAATTTTACAAACAAGATCTGAACCTATCACAAAAATAGTTATATAAAATAGGGTAAAACCCTCTTTTCAAATCTTTAATTTGGGATAAATTTTCGGTTTCATGACCACCTATTCTTTCTTTTTCTTATTTTTAGGTTATTTTCGTTCCTTGCACCAGAAAATAACACTTCTTTCTTTTAGAGTATTAAACGTGGGTGAAAATCGAACTCACAACTTTTAGTTGGAGATATATGTCAATTACCGTTGATCTATATTTGTTTTGGTTCTTTTTCTTTCTGTTTTAAAATAAAACATTACATTTCTTTACATGAAAAAATATAGTATTTGAGCAAATATTTAAACTTTTTAATTTATTGATGCCTTCGTATTTGATCCATGTTATGGTTGGCAATTTATGGAAGACTCATTGTTATAAATCTCAAGACACTAAATTTCAAAATCATATGATGTTAATATGATGTTCCATAAAATTTAGATTAAATTAGAAATCTAGTATTCGAGATTTAAATTTCTGTCTAATAATTCTTTGATACTAGAGTTATCTTTTTTTTAGTACAACATGCGGGTGTGGGAGATCGAACTCAATATATATCAATTACAGCTCAACTTTGACACTATAATTGTTGAACTTAAACTTTAAAAGTGTCATAAACTTTCGATTTTGTTTCTATTAGTTTTCTAACTTAATCAAAAGAATTTAAAATTCTATTAGACATAAAATTAAATTTTGTGTCTAATAAAATTAAAAAGTATGGAACATGTCAGAGACTAATTAGACGCAAAATTAATTGATGAACATTAGATATTTTATCTACGCCAATTTAAACAATAAAAAAACAATAAAAACAAGCTAGAGTGTAAATTAAATCTTGGAATATATTTATGAATTGATGAACAAAATTAAAGTTAAAGAACACAACATTTAAATAAAGTGGCAATGAATCGTTTGAAAGAGAAAAGGAAAAATTCAACCAAAGAATTATTATTATGGAGAGCTTTTTTGATCGTGATTATGGCGCCCTTTTTTCAAAAAGGCTTCAGCTTTCACCATCTTCCCAAGAGGCCCAATGCGGTTTCAGCGAGCGATTGCATCGTGGTGCTGTGGCGGCTCAGCCCGACCGTGCCGGAGAAGATATTGAAGCTTTCCAGCTCCGAAGTGGTTTCCAAGACGGCCTCCAGCTCCTTCGCCATGCCCAATTCCTCCAAAAACTGTATGTTCTCTGTGTTTTCCCTCATCATCCAGATCGCCATTTCTATTACGAACCGCCGAATCTGCGGCGTTTTAGTCGCTGGGTTTTTGTGCTTCTTTAGAATATGGACCAATGTCGCGGCCAATTCGGCCTGCGTCGTGCCGGCCCTCTCGAATGTGATGGCGGCTTCGTGGGATGTTGTGAATTTCAAAATTTGGACTGCTAATCCGATCATTACTTCCTGTAGTTTTTGGTCTTCTGCTTTGATTGCCTGAACCACCTGAAAGAGAAGCTGGTATTCAGTTTGATCTGATATGATAAATGGTAAATTATGTCTACTTCACTTGTTTTAGAAATGCCCTCATACTAAAATATTGGGTTTATAGTAGAGAGAAATAGAATTTTTAGTTTCTTGAAGCTGTTTTAGGTTGAAGATTACTTCGTAGTGATATTTGGCTCATGTAACATATTTGTGTAGAAGTCTAAATTATGTTTGGTAGGGGCTATAATAGACTAAATTTAGGCTTATGAAACTAGTTTTTACAAATATTTAAATATATAAACTAATATATATTTGACATATTCAAACTTAACTTCAAATTTTATAAACTCAAACTTGTTAAAATTACGAGCTAAACATCATCCCGTTGAGATAACTTAAGATTCCTGCAATGAATATTAAGAATTAACATGAGTGATAGCCACTTGAATAGTAGAAATTCCTTTTCTTTATAAACCAATTCTGAAAAAGTAGAAGTTAACTATGTTTGTATATTAATGGACAAGTTGTTGTTGCAATAAATGTTTTCTCTTCCTTGCACCTTCCTAATTCACAAGCTCAGGTGTCAAAGTTCAGTAGATTTTTAGTTTCTATTGTGGTTTAAATCTTCGAAACTGAAAATCTATTTGGTTCGTATTAATAGAAAAAGAGGCATTTGATTTTGATTACTTACTGTTGAAGCTGCCGCTGCAATTCCCCTGAGCTTGTTAAAACCTTCTGCTCCACTGCAGATGCACAGATTTCTCAATATTCTTGCAGCATTCACCCGAAGCAATGGAACCTCTAAAGTTGTTACCAGATTTTCCAGCACCTCCAACTTCAGAATACAATTACAGTTGCTTTGACTATCTAATGCAAGCATTGCCAGTGCTTCACCAGCAGCTGTCCTTGCATGGTTATGAATCTCCGCCATCTCCTGGTTGAAGAAAATTCTGAACAGTTCCTTCAGAATGCCACCGGTGCCACCGATCCTTTCTGTTGCATCCTCATCTAGGGCCAAACTGGTTAAGATTTCAATGCCTAGTTTCTGAAGTGATGGATGTTTATCACCATACCGCAGTACATCCCTGATGTTGCTGATTGTAAAAACTATCTCAGCAATTTCATTCCGAAGAAATTTGCCTGTCGTGCCCGTCGTGCTTGCCAGCATCTTCACCACTTGCAGTGATCTTTTTACCGTTTGAATCTGGGATGGCGCAACATGCTCGTCTTTCAACAGCCTTTCTTCTGCGTGAGTGAAATCTATTATTTTCGGCAGGAGACCTCTTGTGTTTCCAATCTTACCACAATTATCATGGTCTCGTGCAAGTTTTTTCAGAATGACAAGTCCCAAGTGGTTGAATGTCCAGAATGCATAGTTCGCATTTTCGTAGATGATTTTCTTTTCACTTATTTCATCTGCAGAAACGTGGGAGCTTCGATCATTATGGAGTAAGGATGAAATTGATTCCATGGCGCCAGGTATCCCAGCAACCCTTAAAGAGTTCTGCTTTTTTCCTGCTAGTTTTGACAGTATTTCAGCAGCTGAAAGTCTGATCTCTTCTTCTTGTGGATCTTTCCAGTTCAACATCTCCACTAACCTTTCTATAACAGCGAGATTCACCCCTATCTTTTCAAGCGTGTCATTGGAAAACCTCGGATTCATTGAAAACTGTCGAAGAATTCTCACTCCAATGAGCTGCTCATCGGGAAAACTTGAATCCAAGAGCTCCATTGCAAAAGAGACCATGTCCATTTTCAGACCATCAAAAATGCTTCCATTGACACACCTTGAATATGCATCGTAGAAGAATCTTTTTGTCGAGATCATACCCGAAGGCCCCAATTCACATTCTTTGTTCACCTTTTCCAATAAGTTCCGGAAGATAACCTTCCATTCCCAGTAAGCTTTTTCCATCAAGAACAACAAAGCTTCTGCCAATGCCAAGCCATAAAAGATGCTGAGAGCAGAACGTCTGTTCCTCTTGTCCGTGTCTCCCTTTGCTATGTCGCCATAGTTGTGCTTGATCAGTTTCATTAGTGATAGCACCACACAAGCTATTGCAGATATAAGCTGAAGCCAATAGAGAAGTTTACTGATGTTTCTCGACAGGAAAACCCATTGAGCATAGGGCAAAAGGGGAACATCTGATGTGCTCCATCGACGAGTCGGCATCCTTGATTGCTCCGACATTCCTCGATTGGTAGCATCGGAAATCCCTCTACCTCGACCTTGCTTTCCCAATGTAAGCACTGACTTGAAAGTTGCTTTGATCTTTCCAACCAGGAAGTGGGAGCTGGCCCTCAATGCTCGGAAGCTGTTTAAACCGGCATCAGCGATCGACCATGTTGCTTGGTGCTGCCATTCTAGCTCATGACTCCTGCTGAATATTCGAGTTCCTTCAATTAACAGAATAATTGTGATGAACCAAAAGTCACTTTTGTCCAATGTTATGGCAAAACCACCAAGAAGAACCACAGTTGCCCAGATGAACCCAAGAGTTCCCAGCCCTGTCGCCGCTTTCTCAAGCACCGCCAACCGGAGAGCAAAGAGCGTCAGCTTCTTCTCTGGCGCACGAACTGCAGGTTTCAATGGTGAAGCAAAATCCACATTACTACTTTCCCTCATTGTGATATTGGCCCTCGGCTCAAACATGGTGGTGTTCCCACTGCACATTTCCCTCAGCTTCTGAGGCTCCGATATCTGCAAACGAAGGTCGCACGCATTCCAATCGCCCACCGGAGATTTCCCAGCATCCATGTTTGATTTTTGTCAGATGAAACTTGAGGTGCAGTTTCTGGAGATGATGATGAAGTGTGGTGGTTTTTATAAGCAATGGAAGCTTAGTGGGCACGTAATGTTACGGAAATGGAAAGAGAAAGAGTAACGTGAAGTGGCTTCTCTTTCTGTGGATTTACTCGGAAGTTCTTCGAGTTTAAACAGCCTTTAACTTGGAGCAAGGAGAGAGCTGAGTTTCTTCGACAAACAGCTAAAGATTTTGAAAGCTGAGGCCAAAAGCCTTTTGCTTTCTGTTATTTACTTTCTTCCTTTCTTTACATTTTGAAAGCTTGTTGGTGAAGGAGTCTCTGATGATTCAGAATTTCAAAGGCAATTTTCTCATTTCTAGTCATTCAGTCATTGGAGGTATTGCCGTTTGAGTTCATTCACAAAGCAGGTGCTCTTTTTCTCAATAACCTTTTTCTTTTGTTTGTTTAATTTTTTTTTAACAATTTTGGTCCATATATTTTTTTTGTTTGTTGGAGTGATGATTTAGCATGTGAACTTTAATTTGTAACGGTATAGGCTATATGCTTTGAAATTGGTAATAATTTAGTCTCTGAAGTTTTAGTACGTAACTTTCAAATTGGTAATATGGCTTTGACTCTATGTAGTAATATATTAGAGTTGTTGGCATGTATTGGAGTGATATAGGTTGGTTGAAGTGAAGCATTGGATGAGCGGATATTATGAAGTAAAATAATATCTATGACTAAAATGATTACCTTTTGAAAGTTCAATTACTAAAATAATTCTTTTTTAAATTTGAAGAATTAGAATAGACCTTTTAAAAGTTTATAAATCGAAATGAAATGAATCAATATATACATATTATTCTTAAGTATCACATTCGCTCTATAAGAAGACTCCAAGCAGAAACTCTCGAGCACGTGTCCCGATTTCAAGGAAGAAATCAGTTAGACCAAGACCTAAAATTTTGGAAACAAGAGTTATTTAGTGTGAAGTTAAAGGGAAAAACAAGAGCCAAGAAAAAGAAATTGTTTTTAACTCAGCCATTTCCCAAAGCCTTGGAGTAGAAGAATGAAATTGCAAGGTGTGGGATGAGATCTTTGTCACATCCAAGTCTTTGATTGTTTAGTGAAGTGACACGTGTCAGGTGTTTTATCCAATCATAAATCCATATTTTATGTATCTTAATTCAATTAATCACTCAAAAGCCTTTCTTTGGGACATTACTTGACAACTTCCTTTACCCAACCATTTCCTCCAATTGGGAAATATGTGGTGTGTCCTTTTTTAAAGCTGAAATGTAAAGTTTCTTTTTCTAGGTATGGGCAACGGCAACAATCAAATGTTTCTAATTAGGTTGCTATAATCTTAGTCTAGTACATATATGGGGTCTTTTTTGGTACACTTTTATCAATATGCACTATTATAATAACTAACCGGAGTCGTTTTGGTCCACACTTCACTCATAAATTCCATAAATTTGTATTAAACAATTTCTATTATGTATAAAATTTTACCAGAGGCCAAAATGATCACTTTTTAAGAGTGTACAGAAACAAAAATAGACATTTTGAAAGTATAAATACTAAAATTATCAAAAATTGAAAATACAAAGAACCAAAATTCTAAAAAGTGTAAATATTAAAATAAATCAAATGTATTTGAACCCGAGTTTGAGAAGAAAATGAATATTTAYTTTTCATTATAATAAGTTAATGATAATAATAGCAATAAATAAAATAAAATAAATAAATCTCATCTCCAACCCCATTTCAGAAGAGATTATCGTCATCATATTCCCAGGTTCTTTTTTCTTTCTTTTCTCTGAAAAATATTGTTTGGAAGTCAGCCCTAGTAATTAGGGCATTGACCATGTATAGTTATGCCATGAATTTGAAGGAAGGAAAAAAAGAACTTACCTTATAAGAATGGAGAACCTTCATCAAGGAGTTCTCCCCTATTCAGTAAAATAACTCCAAAACACAAGAAGTTTCTAAAATCAGTAATGCAAAAGGAAGAAAATATTCTCAACGGACTCTCACGCATCTCAACTAATCTCGATAGATTTTAAAGATTGAGACCTTCTTCCGCCGGGAATTAAAGAGGTACAATGAAGATTGAAGAAGCTCCAAAAAGTAAACTTTATTGTCATTTCTCTTGGGATAGTCATAATAATAAGCATGGGGTATGAAAATTTCAAAGTTTCATCAGCATTACCATGGTAGATTTTTTACACATCTTCTTGGAGCAGTCAGTCCCCTCTATGCTCCTGCCTGAGATTATTGTTCAACTGCCAAAACAAATTTCAACTGCATAACGGTTCGAGTTCATTCGACCTGTGCTTGGGAATTAAATCAAAAAACAAAAATTTGAATTTTGGTAACAAGCAAGACCCGGTGCATGGGGTTGTAGATAAAACAAAACAGCCTCTGCCCTCCTCAAGTGATAATAACACCTGCAGGAGATGGTAGTAACTGTAAGTTATGGCATATGCAAAATAAAGTCTCAGTGCAGTAGTGTTATGGGGGGTTTGGGTCCCAGCGGCCCTCCATTTCATTAGAGCTGGAGGGGATCCATTCCCAGTTTGGGGGGCTGTCTTTCCTGTGCAGCCGTAATATAAGCACCAAGCTCGCTGGTTTTATAAGACGGTTGAGAACATAATAAATTAGCTTGAGTTTTCTGGTGTAATATGCATTTGGCAAGTAGGGGTGCAAGCTGAAACTGGAAAAACTGAATGAATCAAGCTAGTTAAGAGTCAGTCGGTTGATTCGAATTTGTGAAACTCATAACAATAAAAATTTTAGTCAGTCGTTTTAGTCTACTCGGTTTTGGTTATCTAGAATGTTGGTTTTGGGGTTGATTTTTCAGGTCAGTTCAAAGTCAGTTTTGACCAAAAAGCAAGAAAAGCCAACCCATTTACACTCCCAACTCCTTAACTACAGATTCTGGGTTCAAACCTATAAAATGAGTTTCCTTCCATTTTCTAACTAGCAGTACCTGTGTTGATCTTGAGAATAAAATTTAATATCCGAACTCTGATCTTAAAATGGGGGATTTAACAAGAAGTCACTCTGAAACTTCCACCAATTCAACCAACTTCAAACATTCTCCATCGAAAACACGATTTGCTACAAGATAAAAATCATGAGAAATCATAGACTCTTTATGAAGAATATCAGCCTAGAGGTATAAAAAACTAACCATGATGCCTGATGGGATCAAACACAACAAGAGTCAAGACTATTCAGCCAAGTGTTGCGACACAATCAGTTAGAAGCAAGAAACATCTTGTATAATTAAATAATGACAACTTCTCCATTAGAACAAGACTTTTCAGATAGAATCCAAAAATAAAAACCATGTAAGCTTCAGTCTAAACAGGGCAATATTGTACTATAGTGGAGTATGGTGATGTCCATAAACAAACAAAGGTAAGCAATAAATACTTCAATACAGGAAGCAGGAATTCTAAACAAGGTACACTTTTGTTCTTTTGTTCCTTCTATATCTGTGTAGTTACTCTCCCAATAAAGAAATCCATCTCACAAGTAACAAAAGAACTTTAAAGAAAATGTTACCTTCCAAAATGGTGTCTGAAATCTCAATCTAAATGACAGCATTTCTCTGCCAGACCTTAGCTTTCTCCGCATCAATAATGGATTCCACCAGCTTAACCGCACTCTCCAACTCCCCTTCTGTATTCACAACCACATAGTCGAAACTCTTAACATGTTTTACTTCCTCCCTAGCCGTCGCAACTCTCACCAACAATGACTCTTTCGTCTCCGTCTTCCTATTGATCAACCTCTCAACCAGTTTAATCTCACTCTCCGCCATCAAAAACAAAAAAACTGCAGTATTCCCAAGAATTTTCTTCAATGTCTCGGCGCCCTGAATGTCCACTCTCAACACAATATCGTGCCCTCTTGCCATAAACTCCCGAATTTGCTTTTTGGGAATGCCCTTGTAATCTCCATAGACTAATGCGTATTCCAGAAGCTCATTCCTCTCGATCATGGCGAGGAACTCTTCCTTGGAGACGAAATAATAATCTACTCCATCGACTTCCCCAGGTCGCATCGGTCGACTTGTCGCAGTGACGACGAAATGGAGCCCCTCTCGGACCTCTCTCAATCGTTTAATCACAGCGTCCTTGCCCACCCCACTGGGGCCACTGATGACGATAATCAAAGGGCTCGGATTCGGCAACAATGGCTCCGAACTAAACGAAGAATTGAGCGAAAACTCGAGGGAGCGGAGCAGCTCCGATCTGTCGGCGGTCTCGGGCGGCGGTATGTTGGCGGAGAGCGGTCTTCTGGCATCACCCATTTGGGAATTGGAGGAGAAAAATCTTGGGGTTATCGGAAATGGGTGAATGGATTTGGATTTGGGGAAATTGGGGTGGAGAAAATAGGGAAGGGAAATGGGGTTACGGAATTTGGCGTGGAGAATTGAAGAGCGGGAAAGAGAGGCGCCACCAACGAAGAATCTGCGAGACATGGGGAGAAGAAGCAGGCGTCAGTCCACAGTATCCTAACCGATTCAGCCAGCAATAGCGTTGCGGGAATCGAATTGGGGTTGGAGAAATGGAAATTACGAAAGCGCAGGGCGAAATCGCTCAACAAAATTTCGGCTTTTGAAGTGGCAAAACGAGGACCCAACATATGGAACAGTGGGGACTATTCACTCATTCCCTTCAAACTTCTAAATCAACTAAAAAACTTTGCTTGATTTTGTTATTACTCTTCGTTTGTTTCTTTAAATCACAAACTTCAAAATTACATTGACAAATTCATACTTGTTAAAATTGTGAGCTTGCTTATTTGGAGTTTCTTTTGACCCAATTAGAAAGTATACTCATGGCTCGGAGTTTCTCCACGCTTCTCGGTTTATGTCGTTGGTGTACGTGTTATAATTTTTAATTTGTGCTAGTTTTTGTCAGGATATGAACATGGTCGTGGATAAAAATTTTGGTCGAGGGGACTTCATTCAAGTAAGTAATTTCAAGAATCATAGAAAGAACTAAAATCACAAATTACATGGAAGTTAAATAAATTTGTCCAAAAGAATGCAACAGGAAAAATCACGAAAATATAAATTTGATAAACCAAGTATAGGCTCGATCAACACTCGCCACTATACAACATGTATATTTAATAATTTTTATATACTAATTAAATACTCTTGAAAGTTTAGGTGGCTCGAGCCCCTCTAGACCTACTGTAGATCTACCCGTGGTCCTACATCATAGAGAATATCTAAGTTATAAAGTTTGAAATAGACAACATTATATCCCGTGTGCATTTTGTTAAATTATCAAAATAATAATTTTGAAGTCGTTGATTGAACTATCAACCTTTAGAATAATAAGTATGTATCTTATTCACTTAGCTACACTCAAATTAGCAAAAATAACAAGTATCTTTTAGTAAAGAAAAAATTTAGATAAAAATTAAGACAAAACCTCGAATGTTAAAAAATATTGAAATAAATATTTTATCTATTGAATCATGTTGTTGATGTTGTTTTATGTAATAATAATGGATCAATTTGATATGCATCAAATGAGGTCAGCCAACTTATTATGGTTGGTGATCTGAAGTTTAAAATTAAAATCGCCGACGTGAGAATAACTAATTAGTTAAGCCATGTTTTCTCGGTCAAGACGATAGATTGGAATCTCCACTTCTCAATTGGTTAAATTTTTTTTACCACTTTTTTTAAACTAATTTTTTGATCTTGGCCAAATATCGACTTACTTAATTGTTCACAAGGAATTTTCAAGAAACGAAACTCAAAATAAACAAACGTTATAAGTATTACAACCTCTAATGTATAATCATCTAAAGTTTTGTCTTGAATGCAAACTTCGGTTCGATGACTGGTGAGCTTGTTCAGAGATCTTTCAAATTTTTTTGTTCAAGGTTAGATATTTACCAAATATGGACTTACTTAATCCTTACTCCTAGCCTATAAATGTATACATTCTCTTAAATTTCATGACATATATTCAATAAACTAAAAATCTAAGTGCTCATTTGTCCTCTCACATGTATAAAACCAAAATAAAGACATGATCCATATTATAGGGAAGTTTTTTTTGGTGTGAAACATAGTGAAAGTTCATTTGAATATTCCATCAACCCAACA